ATTCCATACTAATTTGTTTATTTTCAATGCAAATGAATACAGTGCCAATTTCAATACAAAATAAAAAGTTATATATATATATAAAAAAAGAAAGATCGGTTTCAAACCTCAGCTGCTTATAAGTGTTGTCACAATATACCAGTAACATTTCACAGTTCTCAGTACCTTATTATTATGGATTATGTATGGTAAAAAACGTATATAAAGGAGATACACTGATGACCTTCCAGCTTTTTAAATACCTTCAAATTAGAAGTTATATTTATATTTGAGAATTAAAACCTATTCGGAAACCCAACATTCTACTTTAGATTATCTTTACTTCTATTCCATTTTTGTATTTGTATGTATTACTTTATTTTATAATGTATTATTATTTTAAATGATTTTTTTTTTTTTGGATAAATGTAGGGGTGGGAAAGTATACTCTGTAATGTTATATCATTTGATATGCTGTAGTGTTCATGGGGGTTTTGTAAGAAAATTAATAAAAAACAAAGTTGAAAAAAAGAAGGAAGCTTCCTACACTCTAAAAAATGCTGGGTTGTTTCAGTATGGACTAAATTTTTAACCCAAAAGTTGGGTTAGTCCAAATTTGACCCAAAGTTGGGTTGAAATAACCCAGCATTTTTTAGTGTGTATGTAGACAGCGGGGTTTGAAACAGAGCGTATATATCACACCCAGATGTTGTGCCTGCAGAGAAGTTTAATGAAATCTGATGAGAAACTACACAGAAGCCGACCTCAGGTGTGTGTAAAAGTCCCGTAACTTCCTCTCGTAGAACTGCACGGCCTGAACCACAAGTTTGATCACTTCTTGACAGTCGCCCATACTGCGCTGCTCTGGAGACACAAAGAGATTTCCAGATCACGTGATGGATCGGCTTGTCCTGAGGAAGATGAGAACGTGTGTCTTACCTCTGGGTTTCTCTCGCAGTTTACGGAAGAGCTCCATGGCCTTCACCTCGCTGCAAAACACAACACAGCTGAGTGAGAGAGCGCGTGCAGGTCATTCAGAGAGTCTAAGTCAGGTTTTTGAGTTGTGACACTTTGTTTGTGAGGTTCATCATGACACTGAATCTTGAGTTTAATTTAAATCCTACGGTATCATATCTGATAGGCCTCTAAATGATCAATATGATCAAAACTTTGTTGAAATTGGAAAAACCTGTCACACACAGTCTACTCCATGCCTTCTGTCATCTGATTGATAGTTTAGACTTTTTTATCAAGATTTTAAAAGATTTTTTTTTTTTTGGATAAATGTAGGGGTGGGAAAGTATACTCTGTAATGTTATATCATTTGATATGCTGTAGTGTTCATGGGGGTTTTGTAAGAAAATTAATAAAAAACAAAGTTGAAAAAAAGAAGGAAGCTTCCTACACTCTAAAAAATGCTGGGTTGTTTCAGTATGGACTAAATTTTTAACCCAAAAGTTGGGTTAGTCCAAATTTGACCCAAAGTTGGGTTGAAATAACCCAGCATTTTTTAGTGTGTATGTAGACAGCGGGGTTTGAAACAGAGCATATATTTCAAACCCAGATGTTGTGCCAGCAGAGAAGTTTAATGAAATCTGATGAGAAACTACACAGAAGCCGACCTCAGGTGTGTGTAAAAGTCCCGTAACTTCCTCTCGTAGAACTGCACGGCCTGAACCACAAGTTTGATCACTTCTTGACAGTCGCCCATACTGCGCTGCTCTGGAGACACAAAGAGATTTCCAGATCACGTGATGGATCGGCTTGTCCTGAGGAAGATGAGAACGTGTGTCTTACCTCTGGGTTTCTCTCGCAGTTTACGGAAGAGCTCCATGGCCTTCACCTCGCTGCAAAACACAACACAGCTGAGTGAGAGAGCGCGTGCAGGTCATTCAGAGAGTCTAAGTCAGGTTTTTGAGTTGTGACACTTTGTTTGTGAGGTTCATCATGACACTGAATCTTGAGTTTAATTTAAATCCTACGGTATCATATCTGATAGGCCTCTAAATGATCAATATGATCAAAACTTTGTTGAAATTGGAAAAACCTGTCACACACAGTCTACTCCATGCCTTCTGTCATCTGATTGATAGTTTAGACTTTTTTATCAAGTTAAAGGGGTCATATGATGATTTCAATTGTTCCTTTCTCTTTGGAGTGTTACAAGCTCTTGGTGCATAAAGAAGATCTGTAAAGTTGCAAAGACTAAAGTCTCAAATCCAAAGAGATATTCTTTATAAAAGTTAAGAGTCAGCCACGCCTACCTAAAACGACTCGTTCTAACACGTCCCCACATATCTAGGTCACGATGTGGGAAGATTTGCATAACACTACTACAAAGAAACTACTTTGTTTGGTCTTCCAAAAGAGGACACGACTAGAAATCAGTGGTTAAGTTGTATTTACAACGCTGTTCCAGAACACTTCAACCCAAATATTCAGATGTGTGCAGCGCATTTTATGGAGGACTGTTTCCTGATCCTGGGAGAGTAGAGTACAATGCCAGCTGTTCTGACTCACAGACTGTAAGTACGGTTTTTTATATTTAAAGAGTTTTTATTTTTTTATATTTAAAGCAAGTTTTTTTAGCAGTGTAGAGTAGCGCTTGTTGTTTGTCATTTCTCCGATCACAAATGCAGACATGGTTTTATGTTTACGTGGCGTGATGCAACGCAACGCGTAAAAAGACAGTATAAGTCATTATAATCAGTAATTATGTCCCCACTGGATGCAACAAATGCCTCGTTTATAATGGGTTTTAATGTTTTTGTCTCGTCGCTCCGGCCGGACACGGCATCAACACAGTATGGTGAGGGGCATAACATTTCCGTCTCACGCTTGAGGTATTCGTCCAATCACAACACACTAGATAGCTGGCCAATCAGAGCACACCTCGCTTTTCAGACCGATGAGCTTTGTAAAAATCGACGTGTTTCAGAAAGGCGGGGCATAGAGGAGAAACAATAATGTACAGTATGTGGAAAATAATGTGTTTTTTGAACCTTAAACCGCATAAACACATTTCATTACACCAAATACACAACATAATGTTCTTTTTTAGCAACATCACATGACCCCTTTAAAGCTATTTTAGTATAACTGTCTAAACTGTGCGTCCCAAATAATGTTCTTTTTAGCAACATCACATGACCCCTTTAAAGCTATTTTAGTATAACTGTCTAAACTGTGCTTCACGTGTCTTTTTGCAGTGAAATATTTACTGATTATTATGAAGTAAACATAAGAATAACTTTGATATTGTTAGTAATATTTTAAGATGAACACTTACTGAACTGAAGCAACTTAGGTTCACTTTAGTATTCATACATCATTTTTTAAGAAAAATCATATTGAATGACTGATATTTATATCACTTTATATCAATATCCGCTGTACTGTTATAAAGATCTCATTGATTTACATTACGATCAGAATTTCATCTTACTTCAGCATTTGCACCAAATTACATGTTTTTTTTGCTAATTTTGGGTCTCTGAATAAAACAGCAGTTTTTTCCTTCATATTCTCACAATATCACATTATGTGAGCCATAAAAGCATGATCTATAAAATATAAAACTATATTATTGTATTTAAGATGAACACTTACTGAACTGAAGCAACTTAGGTTCACTTTAGTATTCATACATCATTTTTTAGAAAAATCATATTGAATGACTGATATTTATATCACTTTATATCAATATCCGCTGTACTGTTATAAAGATCTCATTGATTTACATTACGATCAAAATTTCATCTTACTTCAGCATTTGCACCAAATTACGTTTTTTTTTGCTAATTTTGGGTCTCTGAATAAAACAGCAGTTTTTTCCTTCATATTCTCACAATATCACATTATGTGAGCCATAAAAGCATGATCTATAAAATATAAAACTATATTATTGTGCCATACTCCGTGGACCATAAAAGTTTTTTTTATCGAATATGAAATAAATATTGTATTTAATATTTCAGATTTTTATTTTAAACACCCTTGCAAATGTATGAAATATAAATAATTTAACAAATATATTAATATCAATACTAATATTATTTATTTTGTGTGTGTGTGTGTGTGTGTGAGTGAGTGAGTGTGTGTGTGTGTGTGAGTGTGTGTGTGTGTGTGTGTGTGTGTGTGAGTGAGTGAGTGTGTGAGTGTGAGTGAGTGTGTGTGTGTGTTGATTTACAGCGTCTCTAAAGCCTCTCCACTCCTCCACGGCTGTCTCTGCAGGTCCACGATATCAGTCTGAAGGGTCATCATCTCCTCCTCCAGCTTATTCACGTCTTCTGTCTGACACACACACACACACACACACATACACATTACAGCGCTAAAACACAGGTTACAACAGTACAAACATTAGCTATGATCACTGGCACGGATGACAATATGAAATCACACACACGCTCTTCTTACCTGTCCACAGTCCAGGGCGGTTTGCTCCATTTCTCTCCAGACACTCAATAATTTTTCAGAGGCTGGAAAACATGTAAACATCTAAACTTAGTGTACACTTGTTCTGAAAGCAATGCTAAACAGAATTGAGCGCCTGTGTTGTGACTTAAATTAGTCATAAATGCTTAGTATAATGTTTGATTCATTGTTTTCGATAATAAGAACAGAGACAGTTTATATAGTCATTTGTCGGGATGTTCCCCTTTTAAGAAAACATTTCCCATAATGCTGTTTAGTGCTGAGAGTGTGTTATGAGAAGTGAACTGATGTGTGTGCGCTGCTAAAGTGAACTCAGTAAATCAGTTCTTTTGTTTGACTTCAAGTCGTCAGTGGTCATTATGGCTTGCTAAGCAAAGAAGACATGACAGCCTGTGTGTTTGGTTATGTGTGGAATTTCATACCTATAATACTGTTTCTTCAATATGCAGTACGTACACTGCATGCAAACGAAGTATGCAGATATTTTTCACATGAAATCTGGAAAAACCAGATGACCTACTACTGCTATATCCCTCAATGCAATGCACGGACCCTCCATTCCCAGAGTCACATATGAATAGGACAGGATGTCAAGTGCTTATTTTATAATAATAATAATAATAGTAAAATAATTAGTAGTTAATTAATTCTTTGGAAAGGATGTTAAGTGTTGTTAATAATAATAATGATAAATAAAATGAATGAGTTAATTATTTAGAAAGGATATCACATGCTTTTTTAAACTAATAATAATAATAATAAATTATTTAGAGATAATGTCAAGTGCTAAATAAAATAAAAAAATACTTATAATAATTAAATAAAATTAATTATTTGGGAAGGCTATCAATCAAGGATATAAAGGGATTTTTAAAACAATAATACAATAAACAGATATAAATGAATTAATAACTGATAATCAAAGTGCTTTTGAGTATCTTCCTTGCCAATTATTTGATTAGAAGTTAATATATTTTTGCGTAAAATTAGATTAAATTACTTAAAGAACATTTTAATTTCTAAGATGATAACTGGACGCCCCTCAAACATGCGATGTCATGAGGTCATGTAAAACTTTTATAATACTCTTCCACATACTATTTCTAAACAACAATAAGCATTTACAGTGTACACTAGTATTTCATTTTGATCGTGTGTGGTACCGATGCCCGTCGCTCTCTGCTCCTGGTATTTGTCGATGTCGATGTGCAGACTGGTGCTGAAGAACTCCAGCGTGGCTTTTAACCTCTGGTGCATCGACACCATCTCGTTCTTCTGCTTTGACAGCGTGCCGTTGTGTCTGAGGAGACTCATGCTGGAACAGAGAGAGAACGGGTCACTTACAGCCTGTCACATCAGCGTTAGCTCGTACAGAGCGCTTCTCGTCTTACATGGCGACTTTCTGGCCTTGCTGCAGTCTCTGCCAGTCCTCCTTCAGCGCGCGGATGGTGTGCCACGCTTGACCCCACGTGCGTCTCTGGGAGCTGTAGGGCAGCGAGCGCTTGGGCTCGTTCTCTGCGTCACAAAGATCAGTTTAGATCAGTTTAGACTGATCAGATCAGTTTAGGCGCCCTTCTTATTTACTGCAGTAATGAACAGTATTGTTATTGTAGGCACGTTAAAATGCCTTGAATGATTTTTGATAATCTATTAGGTGTTATTCAGATTTTTTAGAATGCTTGTTTTCCACCAATCGGTCATGTAAACAAACCCAGCATGAATGAGTAGTATGGTAGGGAACGAGTGTAGGAGACCAGCTGAATGAAAATGCAAATTCACTCTTAGAGAAAAGCAGAAATAATGCGGTTTGTCCTGTAAACAAAACATGCTGTGCTACTTTCTGATTCAGACACGTGTGTCACGGAAAAGAGAGGAAGTCAGACCATATTTATGTTTTCAAACAGCCGATCCAATTTTTGTATTCACTATGGTGTTTATGAAATGATGCAACTACTTAATATTAATTTTCAAACATTTGTGTATGCATAAATATTTTTACATTTTAATCTGGACTAAAACATAGCAGATAAAATATCTGAAAAAGTTTTGATTCTTTAATATTTTTATTATTATTATTATTCTGTATTTTTATGTTTTATTGTGTAAATTTTTTATATTTTATTTCATATTTATATTATTTTATTTTATTTTATTTAATGGAAGCCTATTTCTACCACATAATATATATATTATTTTGCGTTATATTATATTATATTTATATATATATATATATAGAATGTATATTTTTCTATTCTGTGTCAGAAAAAGGCTTCCATTAAAAAATGAAAAGAATATAAAATAAAAAACAACTCTATATATATATATATACAGTAACAGAAAAAGATTATATCTCACAATTCTGACTTTTTTATTTTTTAGAATTGTGAGAAATAAACTTGCAATTCTGAGCAAAAAGTTGCAATTGTAAGATATAAACTCTGACTTGGAATTCTGAATGGCTTTCTCACAGTTCTGAGTTTACATCTCAAAAGTCAGACTTTTTCTCTCTGAATTCTGAGTTTAGACAGTAACTCACGGACGAATCGGATGTTCTCAGGAAGGACACGCGGCGTAAACTGAGGCTCGTAGCTGTAGCAGGAACGGTCAAACAGGAAAACCAGCGGCTCATCTGCCCGCCGAGTGTCCATCATCTAAACAACACAAAACAATCAGGATGATATCAACACTCTAAATAAACTGGGTCAATTAAATCAGCTTGAATTTTAAGAAAGCTGCTGTTCCACCTAGGGCTGTCAAATAAAAATTCGAATTTCGAATATTCGTCGAATTTAAAATAAAAATCCACATCCGAATGCAAAAAACGTTGCATTTGAATTTTAGGTGTGCGTCAGCCTGCCTTATCAGTGGGCGTACAAAATGCGACGACGATGTAAGTGCCGTTGCTTTTTAATGCTTTTTTTTTGCCTATCCAGTTGAACCCACTAGATGCGGCGCTGCTACGTTGTTCATTCAAAATATTGTGGAAAAAACAGAACGTCAGTGCGGAGAAGATCTTGTTTACGTCAAAACTGAAACCAAGCCGTTCACACACAAAATTCACACAGAATTTTTCTAGAGGGACATCTATCACCGTAGCACTCGCGTCTCACACAAGAGAGCCACATGTTTAGAAAGCCGCGTAAAATTTATGTAAGTTCAACTTTTAAAAAACATGTCTCCAGTAGGCTTGCCGTGACAGACGGTGCTGACGGTGATACCGGTGTTAAGCCGCAACACCGGTTATATCACTTGCCCACCGCGGCACTGACCCCCACCGTCGTTTAGATTTTTTATAGTAATAAAAATCATTTAGTTCAGTAAAAGAACAGACACTACAATTAAAAACTGAGCGCGACTTTATTTAAACTTTGTGTCATTTATTTATTTTATTTGACATTCGTTTTGCTAATAAACATTCTACGTTTCTTATTTATTTGGTTATATATTATAAATGTTTACTTATTTCCAGTTTTGTATAGGCTAGCGATTAAACTTTATGTAAGTTATTTGTTATTTTATATTAGGCATAGCCTGCCCTATAGCATGGTGTATTTTTATTTGTTTTGTTAATAAATGTTCTATGTTTTCTATATACGTGAGTTTGACGTTGTATTTTGTTGTTGCATTCAAGCAATTGACGCCGAACTTCCGATAATTCGAAAGTGAAAGTAAAATGTGCACGGCGCTTTTAAGCTATTTAAAAGCGAAGGAAAGCGAGGAAAAGAGGGAACGCCCCCGCGGTGATACCGGTATTACCGGTGTTGTCACACCTCGATTAACCGGTGGGAAAATTTCCTCACCGTCACAACCCTAGTCTCCAGACTTTATGGCGTTTTTTTTTCTTTCTTTTCCATCCCACTGCATCTCATGTTTTTAAATGAAAAAAGTACTGTGTGATTGGCTTTCGTTCCTTTGTATTAAACTATGCATACATGATGCTGTTTTGTTTATAATCGTTTAAGCAACTTAATTAATTATATTTGGTTTATAAACACTATGCACTTTTTCACAGATAGTCAAGTTATTTTATTGCTTTAATAAATGTGCATTAGTAATTTTTTGCTCGATGCGCCCTCTTGTGGCCTCAGGAGAGAAGCCAAAAGCCCCCTAACTGAAATTATGCCGTTTAAATTTGAATATAACTTGAATACTGATAATATTTAAATGCAAAATTCGAATTTAGATTTTCTTAGCCATTTTGACACCCCTAGTTCCACCAAACATACGCTATAATCGATTGCACATTGCGTGACGCTGTTGTGCGGCTCGAGCGCAAGCCCCGCCTCCAGCAGCAGCTCCTGATTGGCCGGAGGAATGCGAGCGTCCTGCGCGATTCGCTCCTGGAGGGATGCCACGTCCTCCTGCGGCAGCACCGAATAGGTGAATATTTCAGCAGAGGTCATGTTGAGCACGTGGACCAGCTGAGGAGACAGAGACCATCGCATTAGACATGTTTACATGTGACACTGTGATCACTCCATTGACGAGAGCTACCTTTAGATTCAGAATTCGGCTTAATTCATCGAAGCAGAAACAGGAAGCTTTCGGAGAGTCTTTGCTCCCCTCTGAGCTGCCTTCTTTACTGTCCTCTTCCGAGTCTTTGACCCCGTCCTGACTGTCTTGGCTCCGCTTTTTTAAATCTTTGCCTCGCTCTTTAGGTGACCATCTTAGCATCATTTGTAGCCAGCTCTCCAGTTCACCAGCTAACAGTCTGAAACACATAGTTATAGTTTGATTATCTACGTGGGCTACATTTTTATTATGAATTTGTTAAAGTCTGCATGAAATCAAAATTAACAATATTTATTTTTTTAGTGCACATTGCTAGCCTTAAGGTCAACGATTAATCCGTGCAAGTTAGTCCTCTAAAAAAAATTGTTCGTCTTGGTAATCTTTAATCAAAATCCCGAATGGCACTCCTTCTCGTTTGACGGCTTCGGCAGAATTTGCTTAATCACGACCCTCCAACCGTTAGTTTGCTGCGAACGAAAGACGAGAGGAGGAGCTCAAAAACAAAACCCCGCCCTCTACTCAATATTCAGTTTCAGTTGGAAAGACGTCACCATACTGAAATAAAGTCGGAAGTAACTTCCGGTTCCGGCGGACTTTAATATCAGAGTTAGTATCATTAACTAAAACCAAAACCATACAAGAAAAAAAAATCATTACTTGAAACGAAATAATAAAATATAAAAAATTATAATTATGAATAATTATAAAAAACAATTAAATATAAAACTCTAACATTATTTTATTTCAGCTAGTTGCCAAAGCAATATTTCTCATTTTTGTTTAGTTTAACTTTAAGTACTAAAATAACTAAAGTAAAATAATCAACTATATAGACATATTACAAACTATTAAACAAAAATTTTAAAACTTTGACTAAAATTAAAGTGAAAAAAAAAAAAAATTAAATCTAACTAAAAATATGAACAAAAACTATAACAGTAAATCAATGATACTTACTTTCAGTAAAAAGTTGCTGAATAATTTATATTTTCATAAAAATATGAAAATGACTAATTTCTGAAACTGAAGAACTTTGCAACATTTTGTTTATTACGATCAGCCGCTTTAACGCAATCTGTATTGTATTAAGTACTATATAAATAAATGTGACTTGATTCCGTTTACTTATTAAGACATTCAGTTTCTGTTGCTGTAACCAAGTGGGAGAGGAAAAATCTAATTAACCAATAATATCACAGACCGCTTTCATGATCCAATCAAATACTGATGGATAAAATCAATCAAAATATACAGTCCCTGTATATTCAGTTTCACATTACAGATTGTCATTTAACAGAATCGAATGCATCATACAAAAATCCAGTAAAAAAACTCGTAACATTTCACATTCTTAGTAACAGATCCACTTGTTGATGTGGCCACGGGACTCACTTGTTGAGGTTGTGAGGGTTCGGGAGGTGTTTGGAGAATCGAACTTCTCCCGTCAGATCCTCGTAAACCACAATATCATCCACTTGTTTCTGCAACAGCTTGCTGTGCCTGAGAAAAAAAGAGAGCAGTGAAAGTTCAAGCGAACCTGGAATAAATTTGCAACACACCCTTTAGCGCTGGCGTCAGTCTTGATTTTTCGACGTTCTCAGATGTTATGTTTTAAAAACAGTCCATGTGGTGAGAATACTGGAGCGTGGCCAATCACAGTACAGAAATCTCTGGGAAAACAAACTGCTGAAGCAGAAATATTATCTTTACTCAAACATAAAATATTAGAACAATAGTGTTTCATGGAGGTTTATGAAGGTACTGAACTCTGGCTCAAGCTGTCAGGTCATGACTTATGAAAAGCTCTGCTTTTGTTTCGTGTCTTGCTGATGGTGTACATTAATGAGGAAAAAAAATTAACTTAAATGATTTTAGCAAATGGCTGCAATATAACAAAGAGTGAAAAATTTAAGGGGGTCTGAATACTTTCCGTACCCACTGTAGATACAGAATTTAACCGATCACGCTAAGGCTGATTTACACTGATTTTACACTGGCACTGAATCAAGTACACACATGCCACCACTGCTACATTAGCAAAAAAGAAAGAAAAGTAGTTGTTTTTTTTATATATATTTGTGACCTTGGACCACAAAACCAGTCATAAGGGTCTTTTTCTTTTAATTGAGATTTATGCATCATCTGAAACTGAATAAATAAGCTTTCCATTGATGTATGGTTTGTTAGGATAGGACAATATTTGGCTGAGATGCAACTATTAGAAAATCTGGAATCTGAGGGTGCAAAAAAATCTAAATATTGAGAAAATCATCTTTAAAGTTGTTCAAATGAAGTTCTTAGCAATGCATATTACTAATCAAAAATTAAGTTCTGATATATTTACGGTAGGAAATGTACAAAATATCTTCATGGAACATGATCTTTACTTAATATCCTAATGATTTTTGGCATAAAAGAAAAATCTATAATTTTGACCCATACAATGTATTTTTGGCTATTGCTACAAATATCCCCCAGCGACTTAACACTGCTTTTGTGCTGCAGGGTCACATATATTTAATAAAATTATTATTAATTCATTATTTTATAAATCGTGCAATTTCCACATATCTGCATTTCAGACTTGCTCAGTTACAGATAACCTTCCTTATCAGCCTGTTTTATTTATTTAAAAGCAGGATAGGAAGCCAGATGCTCTAGAACAGTGGTTCTCAGTAAATTTCCAAGGCAATTTTTAAAAATAAAGATATTTCTCTTAATTAATCCCCTCAACAAGTATTTGATTTTCTTTGAAGAACCAGGATTCCCACAGTCTTGGAAAACTGATATATATATATATGAGGAAGCCTCATTGTAAAAGTGTGATTTTTATACCTGGAAAAGTCATGGAAATGAATAAAATGGGAATATTTTATAAAGAATGTCGTTTTTTCTAGTTATGCCAAGCTCTAAAATATTTCGTCAAGTAGAAGTTGTGTTTAATATTTTTTCCTCGGTTTAGAAGAGTGGGAACCATGAAGAACATTCATCTTATGAAACTTTTGGAAAACTGAAATTTAATGTATAGAAACTACAGTTTCCAAATATAAAAAAATTGCAATAATAATAAAAATAGTTTACTATTGAAAAAAATAAAATATTAATTACAGCAGATACATAAATGAACAATATTATTAGCCTACATGGTGTTAATTTTGTGGACAATGGGGAGCCTTGGAGTCCAAAAAGGTTGAGAACCACTGATCTAATAGAGAAACATCAAATCAGTGTATCAGGCCTTGCAGTGTAAAATTCTGCTACAGACAGCTGAGGGCATAAACACCATTGCACGGGTTGCCAGGTTGGTAGAAAAGGCCTGAATCCTGTGATGCACTCAAACACCAGCGTCCCAAAACTCCAGTAATCCACTGCCACCGTGTACTTCTGCTGTTCTAACAGCTCAGGGGCCTGAGAGAGACACATAGACAGCAGGAGAGAGAAAGAAATGACTTTATAGCAGTATAGATGAGAGTGGGAACAATGAGAAGTCTTGCATTTTGCACAGATGTAATATCATACTCACCAAATACTGCAGCGTCCCAACAAACGATGTGCACAGGCTGCTCTGGTCCAGCTCTTTAGCGTAACCCAGATCTATGATCTTATGAACCAGCTACAGGAAAAAATGCAGAAATGCATCTTTAATTTAGCAATAATAGTACCATCTAAATATTTTCAAAATACAGTTACTGCAGAATAAAGGACCATTTTTTATTAAACATTATTGCTTAGTGAATCCGTTTTTTTACACTCACCCTTTTTTCTCCCTGTTGAAGGACGATGTTTTCTGGTTTGAGGTCTCTGTGAATAATCCTCATCCCGTGGAGGTACGTCAGTGCTGAGGCTAGAGAGAGAGATTTTTAATTAACAACTCAAATATGGCCTTCTCAAATGCTCATGCATTAGTTATATTCACATTGTAATGAGATAATGAATAGAATTTTAGACACAAATGCTTAGTCAACTCGTGCAGGTCCAGAATGTACAGTGTGTGTTAATGTGTTTTCTTCAAATGTCTGTCCTGATATAAAATGTCAACACTTTAACTCATTTTAACTACCTTACTCAGCAAGATTTCTTCAAACTGTTGCCAAAAGATGAGGAAGAGTCTTATTTTTGTGCAAATATTAAAAGACAAACTGATAGTTTCACCCCAACGTACGCCATTGGTTAAACCAGTGTCACTGCATTTACACTTTTTAGGAAGTCATACAACTAGTGATTTATTTATAGTGACTCAGATATGTCAAAGTATTTTAACACTGACAAAATTACTCCCGTTTTATAGTTCACCCAGAAATGAACATTCTGTTATCATTTAGTCAAACATTATTTCTTCTGTGGAAAATGATTTTTATTTTTTCCCCCCATGACTTTTGTGTTCTGCAGAAGAAATAAAACTATACAGATTTGGATCAACATAAGGGTGAGTAAATGATGACAAAAAATGGCATTTATGGTGGACTGTTCCTTCATTAAATCAAAGCCAGCACTCTCACTGACTGCCAAAGTGAAATTCCAAGTAAAGTCAGATTATTTCTCTAAAGGCTTCCCAATAAACTCAATAATCAGGTCACGTAACAAAAGCAGTCCATATTACTGGAACCATGACTTACACATCAACTGACAGACAAGCACTAAGTTCACAGAGATCTTTCAGAACCGCAATGTTTTGACCGAAGAGCAGAAATTGAACAGGATGAGTCCAGTGACTAAATCCAGGTTTTCACATGATTGTGATTTACCAGGAAAATCTCTGGCGGACCACAGAGTGACGTTAACATAGAGTTGTGTACGGCACAGTGACACGTATGACCTTTCTTTAGATCCAGTTTGAGCTTGATTGTTCTGGATTGAATGTAAACTAAGCGAATCCACTCACATTGGATAATGAACGCCACTTATGGCTTGAAATGTCACATGGTTTGTTAATTCACTCTCATCATTTTCTCACACTCAAACCAGTATGTTTTTTTAATGAGATGTGCATCATAATGTTTGTATGCTAAACATTAAAATATATGGCAACTAAGTTCCTGTTTCCCAGCGCTTGTTATCCTAAAAAAAGCCCCCACAAATCTCACATCTCTACTAGAGTTTAAATTTTGTTTTTATTTCAACACCCAAGTGAAAAAAAAAATACTAAAATGTATCTGAGATACATTTATTTCATGTTCAGTACTACAAATACATTTACATATTTATGTGCTTAATAAAATACCCTGCAATTGTATACTTTTACTCTGCTAAACTGGAACAACTCATTTTGTACTTTAATTGTGCAGACATAGTGCTGAGGTCCAACTTAAAATATACTGAAGTATATTTTATTGTGCTAAAGTGGAACTATTGCAAGTATACTTCAGGTACACTTGCATTTCAAGACTGATATTACTAAAATATCATGCAATCCTCACTAATAGTGACATTAAAACACATGTTAGGCTTAATATTAAGAAATGTGCATTGTGCACAAGTAGTACTCCAAATAAAGTTTAATTATGATTTTTATATCAACAAGTCTCAAATGATTTGTCAATAAATAACGTCTGCAATCGAAAGTCTCAATATGAACTCAATGAAACTCTATACTCTTACTGTATGACAACTCTTGACTCATTTGGGTCTGTTTTTATTTCTACTGAGGGGTTCTAGGAAAACTGTCTGAAGCGAAGTTGGCGGTTAAATGAATCATGGTTAAATTAAGCTAAACATCTACATAGAAAATCAAGTCATACAGGTTTGGGATGACACGACAGTGAATAAATGATGACAGAATTGCCATTTCTGGATTAAATATCTATTTTAAATCTATAATTTTGAGTAGAACTCCCACACCATTTCTGATGTGTTTTGTTTCTCCTTTTCTTGCTAAAAACGTCTTACACTCTATAACGTCAGACTGCTTCTCTTGGGTACTGTGAGTTTGTGTGTGTGTAGACATCTGATTAGTCTGATTCATAGTCTCCAGCACTTTCAGCTGCAAATCTGGGTCAGATATTTGACTCGGTTTATATTCTGACATTTACAAGAACAGATCCGACACAAACTCAGCTTCAGCAGAAACGTAAACAGACGCAGCCACCGCACAGGCGTTCGGCTCGCATATGTTCACCTGCTCACATGATGAAGGCCAACTAGTCTGGCTGGCCGACTCAAAACTGTGCTGGAAAACCTGAGTTAAACAGCTGCATGTGTTGCGAATGGTGGGAATAACATTGGATTTCCATTGGCTGGTGTCTGCGGACTCACATATATCTTGAATCAGTGTGAGTACAGCAGCTTCTCTCATGCCACAGCAGTTCTCAAGCAGGTTCAGATACTGAAAACACAGAGATTCATTTGATATTAACATGCAGCTGAACAGAGCTGCACGATTAGCAGAAAAAGCGATTTTTCTGATTGCAAGTGCAATTTAAAATGTGCAAAAAATCCAGGTTTGCTGTGCTTGTTTGTGATTACAGTGTTGCTCAATTGCAGAATCTGCGAAAATGTTAATCATTTTGACATTAGATGGTTGGCGCATGTTGTGTTTCCAAATGCAACTCAGAGCAGATGCAGAGAAGGATTTAGTTTGAAGCAGAATTTACTAAACCGAATTGCTCTGAGACACCAGCGGATAATGAGCTGCTGGTGTGTACATGAACACAGTGCCATGCTTCACTCTGAAACATGCAGTGCATACACACTACCGGTCAAACGTTTGGGATCAGAAGGATTTTTTTATATTTTTTACAGGAGTTTCTTCTGCTCAGCAAGGCTGCATTTATTTGATCAAAAATACAGGAAAACACTTTATATTGTGAAATATTCTGATGTAAAATAAAGTTTTTCTATTTTAATATACATTAAAATGTAATGTATTTCTGTGATGCGCAGCTGAATTTTCATCATCATTACTCCAGTCTTCAGTGTCACATGATCTTCAGAAATCATTAATATGCTGATTTATTATCAGCGTTGAAACAGTTGTGCTGCTTAATATTTTTTTGGAAGCTGTGATACTTTTTTCAGGATTTTTTGATGAATAAAAAGTTAAAAAGAAGAGCATTTGTTTAAAATAGAAATCTTTTCTAACAATATACACTACCGTTCAAAAGTTTGGGGTCAGTAAATTTTTATTCTTTCTTTTTTTTGAAAGAAATTAAAACTTTTATTCAGCGAGGATGTGTTAAATTGATAAGAAGTGATAGCAAAGATTTATATTGTTAGAAAAGATTTATATTTTGAATAAATGCTGTTCTTTTTAACTTTTTATTCATCAAAGAATCCTGAAAAAGTATCGCAGTTTCTCCAAAAAATATTTGGCAGCACAACTGTTGATAACTCTAATAATAAATCAGCATATTAGAATGATTTCTGAAGATCATGTGACACTTTATACTGGAGTAAAGATGATGGAAATTCAGCTTTGCATCACAGAAATAAATTATATTTTATAGGATATTAAAATAGAAACCATTATTTTATATTGTAACAACATTTTGCAAGATTACTGTTTTTTGTCTGTATTTTTGATCAAATAAATGCAGCCTTGATGAGCAGAAGAGGCTTCTTTAAAAAAACATTACAAGTCTTACTGATCCCGGTAGTGTATTTATTTATTTAAATGGCCTTTTAAAATTTTTTAATTAATCCAGCCCTACAACTAAACTATTAGAATATTCATATACTATGTTATTACTATGCTACATGTCCAAAAACCCATGCTATCACCATAGTACATGCCCAAAAGCATTTCTGTAAGCGCCACACCTTGCGTAGGTCTCCTCCCTGGCAGTACTCCATGGCCAGCAATGGCAGGTCATTTGTGGCCAGTTTCTGGAGCTCTTCTGGAACGTCTCTCGCCGCAACCACATTCATGTGATTCAACCTGCAAGAAGAGAGACGTTTCATCGTAACGTGCAAACAACAGAGAACTCAATGTACACGCAACCCTCTCATAATCAGGGTTACATAATGTCATTATTAAAAATGTGCTTGTAATATTCAGACGGCTGGCCGGCCCGGCCCTGCCCTGCTCTGCACGAACCTCTTATAAAACACACGCTCAGGACAAAGAGGAGTAAAACCAGATGGAATCCAGGCAACATAACAGGATAACTGCAGCGGCAACACCTAAAACTATCATCTGAGAACATAAACAGCTCATTTTAGCCTTCACAGGCAAACATTCTGACATAACTGCTGTAATAACAAATATTAGGTCTTGAGTAAAGACGGGTGACTTGCATATATTGCATCTTTTTGGCTTTTCTTTATCAGCATCCAAACTGAAAATGTGTCACAATTTTAATTTCCTTCAATTATAATCCAATGCTTTAATCTCTTACTGTGCTTGAGATCTCCTCCTTCACCAGTTGTGTCGATTCAATAACTGAAATTCAATTCACAAACTGTATAGTCCGCAAAACTGGGATTAGTGCATCACAAATCAAGCATGTCACGGGTGCCTCGAGTCCAAATTTGATGCCTATTCTGAACCCAAAAATTAAGTAACGATGAATTTTAAAGTTGGCTTTAAATGGAAATTCTAACAGTTTTCTAAATGCATTTTGTTGACCTTACTGTGAATGTTTAATTTTTTTGAGCATGTAATTTTTAATCCAAAATCTCAATCTTCCAATGAAATGACAAACTTCTCTAATTTTGTCGGCTTAAACTTCACCCCTTTCAGACCTGCCTCTATACAATCAACAATCGCTGGACAGAACCAATTCCTCCAGTCTTTATTTTCTTTTTCAAAAATCTGGCTTACCTTACAGAAACAACTGACTGTCACTATTTCCATCACATTGTGACTTTAAAGGCAATTTCTTTAAACTCTACACATGCAAACACAAATTGTAACTTTAAGACATAATTCTGATTCGGTTTCTGAATTCTGATCATTTTAGTCCTGGCAGAATGTCCCAATATTGCTGTATTATCAGCTTTATACAGCTTCAATATAAGTTGTTGTTTGTGTATTGTAAACCTGTAAAGTAGCTAACCGCATTTTCAAAAGGTTACACTGCAAAACATCATTCTTTATGACTATTTTCATCTTGTTTTCCAGTTAAAATATCTAACATTCCTTAAAACAAGATACGTTTACTTAAAAAGTAGCACTGCATCAAATTGTATCTTCAATAAGAGGGTATTTTATCTTGGCATCTGCACCCGGCAGATTTTTTTACTTCTTTTTTTTTTTTTTTTGCTCGTTTAAACTAAAAATAAGTGACCTTTTCCATTGCAGCAAGTCAAAATACCCTCATATTAAAGATCCATTATTTGAAAACTGTTACAATATCTTATGTAATGTTGCTTTTTGTTTGAAAGATTCACAGATATTTTAACTAGTCAATAAAAATGTACTTAGAAGTCGTTTTAGCAGTGTATCTAGAGTTTCAGTGTGGTTCCTCAACAATAGCCAGTGTTCAGGATGACCAAACATTACATCAATCAGTGCTCTGAACCTTAATCTGAGAAAGATCCTTATGACACAGACAGCAAAGATTCATCACAAATGGTATGTTATCGTTACATGACCGCTCACGGGGTTACAGTGGACACGTCAGAGTCGAACACGCTCTGAGAATCACTGCTCAGTTATCATCACGGGTGACTTTAATCAGACTGCGTGCCGTTTTGACGTCAGTTTATTTCTGAGCTGTTGCCAATGCAGTCAAATACCCTGGAAAACATGATGGGATTCCTGTCCCTCCACAGCAAAGGGTGAGCAGCTCCAACTGAAGGTCATTTCTGAGACTAACTCTGATATCATCATAATTAAGGCTTGATGATCACTGAATGTGTGAAATAGAGAAACTCAGTTGGCCTGGGTGTGTTCCCCAAAAACATCTGTGTGTGTGTGTGTGTGATCGTTGTGGTTTGGCTTTATACACTGAGCTCTACTAGATGCGTTTGAGTCCAGGTTTGTGGCTCACACCAAGTCTGGGGACAGCCTGCTATAAATCTGAAAAAAAAAAACAACATGTCCCCTAACCCCTCGCGCTTGTCACATAACCACTGCGGCCTGGTTAACTAGCACAATCCATCCAACCACACCGGAACGTCACAGAAACCCTCACACTCTGACACTCGGTGAACTTTAACTATTCAAATACATATTAAACAGCTCTAGGGATGGTTTGTGTGCACCATTTAACTCTTTCACAATGTGTAGATTAAATTTAGTATGGATGAAACCCAGATTGTGCTGGAAAACTATCTAAAACTATAAAAACCACAGTAGTATTACTGAGGACATTTGCCTTGGTAATGCTATGATGATCTTTAAATATGCGTATGTGTGAATATGGTAACCATTCAGTGACATGGAATATATCAAAGTACCACAAAATTTACCCTTACTGTACTATGGTGCTTTTTTTCCACTGGAAGGCGCCAAAGATTGAATATAAAAAAATACATAAAATGTGGCAAGACTGCACGATTATGTAAAAAATAATAATCAAAATTATTTTGGTAAATATTGAGAACATGATTTATTTACCACAATTACTCACTGACTTGGGAAACATCATGCATTTACTGAATTAAATATAAATAAATAAAAAGAACAGTGGATTTTTAATAGTGGATTTCCTTGAACTTTAGTTCAAGTGCACTATAATGCACTATCATTTCATAAATATGACTGTTTTTGTGTCACGGAATGTAGTTTTAAGAGTTTTTTAGGCGCTAATGTACTTGTTTAGACTTCAAATATGCAGTTTGTTAATAAAGATAACATCTATTTGAAAATTTGCTTTGACATTTTCAGAGATGTGAGCTCCAGGGCGTCAGCGGCCGTTCAGTGCTCACAAACCCGCCGAGAGCTGCCTCACCTCGGAAATTTGCCACTATTTCTTTCTTTTGGTCATACCAACAAAACATTGTTCTAATTTGAATCTGAAAAAAGACTCATTACCCCTTGGCTAACTACTGGTTAGTTAGACTAGTTCTTAATAACATACAGTAGAGGCTAAATTTATGTACCTGGCCCCAGGGTGAGTAAATGATGACTTAATTTTCATTTCTAGCTGAACTAACACTTTAAACTCAAAAATATCTGGCAGAGAAGGTACAAAGAGAAACAATTGTCCCCTATTGTCACTGACATGTTGTGGAGAGCCTTCAAAAATCAATATTTCTTCATAATAGTTTGCATGTGTTCACACCCAAATACGCCTTAATACAATAAGCAGTTTCCAATAAAGAACTGGACATGAATACGGCCACAACAAACTCACCCCTAAACCACTAACAGGAGGAAAACCTCCGGAGAAAGCCAGAGATGCACTCGCTCCTAATTTAAGATGAGCCTGAAGGTGTTGTGACGGCGCAAACCAATGCTGCGGCCACAAGACTGGGTCACATTTTACTACTGCGGTGTCATAAATTCATCCCTCTTTGTTTTGCTCAGAGCTTTTGTTCATAAAAACATATATAAATAGCCGAATAACAACGGAAGGCATTGCGTGGTCGCTTAATGGACTGCACATTAAAACATGGTAAACAGAAGAGATTCAGTGGGTGAAAAAGGAAAAATCCAACGAAAATAGTGCTTTCTCTTTAAAGAAGCATTAGCTGTGACGTGAAAACCAACATAATTCAGCCCAAAGAAAAAACAGATGTAGTTATTACCAGAATTACTGTTAATGGGTCATAGGATACTCTATTTTCATTGTTTCATCACCGGGAAATCTACTGACAGAGTTTGTAGAGTTTTTGCACCAAAAACAGTAATAGTTTGTTTTTAATGTACATGTTCCAGCCTCTCTGACGCTGATCAGACTTCCATGTAAATGTCTCTTTGCATCTGTGTGTGTGTGTGTGTACAGGTTTATATATCCTGGTGGGGACTTAAACCTGAATACACACAGAGTCATGGGGACTCGTGTCACGGTGGGGACCTAAATTGAGGTCCCCATGGGTACAAAAGCTTATAAATCTTACAGAATTATTTTTTTTTGAGAAAGTAAAAATGCAGAAAGTTTCCTGTGAGGGGTAGGTTTAGGTGTAGGGTTGGTGTAGGGCAATAGAAAATACAGTTTGTACAGTATAAAAACCATTAAGCCTATGGAGAGTCCCCACAAGGATAGCTGACCAGACACGTGTGTGTGTGTGTGTGTGTGTGTGTGTGTGTGTGTGAGAACTGTAGTGACCTACAGGTGGCAGAAAACAGGAAATTGATTCTGGACAGGATATACTCACCTCTTCATGATCTGAATCTCTAAACTCCATCTGCCCTTATTCTTGGGGCTGAGCTCCTGCCGGCACTGTTTGATAGCGATCTGATTGGCACTTTCCTGCTCACACACACACACACACACACACACACACACACAAAGACATACCAACACATGTTAGTAAAACATGACAGACAAAAAGCTAATTCATAGTTAAAAATAACAGTACCATGATAGTAATTCCATGGTATTCTGATGCGGCCACAAAAAATGGTAAAGTGGAAATTATCCAAGGCCGTAGGTTTGATTTTGGCATTGGTGGGGACATAATGGCAGAAAACAGGCATTTAACTGTTTGATCAAAATTATTGCTAGGGACAGTTTAGTAGTCGCTGGATATTGGTAGGGACATGCATAGCATTCTACATTCTTGAAAATCGTAACAAGCGATGTCCGCCTTTGGAAACTATAGTTCTCTCCTTAAACATGAAGAGGTCAAAAACAGATTAAAGGGTTAGTTCACCCAAACATGAAAATTAGCATGTGATTTACTCACCCTCGGGGCATCGTAGGTGTATATGCCTTTCTTCTTTCAAATGAATCATATCGGGGTTATATTCAAAACTGTCCTGGCTATTCCAAGCTCTATCATTAGAAAAATATCAATATTTCAAACGTAATAAACACTTTTCTCTTACTTCTTTTATCTGTCACATGGTTATTTTTCTTATGAAAAAGGAGGCCTTTATTCACCCCCCGGAGCCGTGTGAGGCACGTTTTATTATGAATGCGCGCGCTTTATTTGTAAACACCCGCTGACTGCAAAGATAGAGCTTGGAATAGCCAGGACAATTTTTAATATACCCCCGATATGATTCGTCTGAAAGAAGAAAGTCATATACACCTAGGATCCCTCGAGGGTAAGTAAAACACAGCCTAATTTTCATTTTTGGGTGAACTAACCCTTTAATGAGTTACCAAATTTCACAAACAGCCTTATAGACATAATTTTATTTATTTTTTTTCATTTACTTTTTTTCAAACAAACTTACACTTCCATCAAATGCACATTACACATTATACCTATGAATACACTCATACATAAGCACACCTGTGTCTACACTCACACGTACATATCTAAATGTGCCCATATATACAGACAATTTTTAATATAACCCCGATATGATTCGTCTGAAAGAAGAAAGTCATATACACCTAGGATCCCTCGAGGGTAAGTAAAACACAGCCTAATTTTCATTTTTGGGTGAACTAACCCTTTAATGAGTTACCAAATTTCACAAACAGCCTTATAGACATAATTTTATTTTTTTTATTTTTTATTTTTTATTTACTTTTTTTCAAACAAACTTACACTTCCATCAATGTGATTTCTGAGAAGGCATAATAAAATATTTTATCAAACTTTTCCAGCCAAACTCCCTCCATTTCTGTGCCTTAGAACATTTCCATTGATACTTCCATATTATTGTCCATTCCTCTTCTGTTATAACTATCCCTCCTTCCTTTTCCCATTTTGTTTTTATATAAGAGGTTGAGTGTGCTTTAAGGTTTAATAAACATTTGTATATGCATGAGACAATTCTCCCATGAAAATCTGATTTATATGCTTTTCTAAATAATTCTATTAAGCCTGTCTTCGTCTCAGTCACATCCTTCATTTTTATCTTAACAAAGTTTCGCATTTGTAAGTATCTATAAAAGTCTTGTGTTTCTAATGTATGTTTCTCTTTAAGTACTTCAAAGCTGGCTAGTATATTATCTTCTATTAAATTACACAAAACTGTTATCCCCTTATCTATCCAGTCCTTAAATCGAGTATCTGATCTGTTTGGTGTAAATTCAGAATCATATGCACACCATTTAAGAGGCACAATTTCTTCTTTTAGTTTATATTCTGTAATAATAGATTTCCATACCGTAAGAGTGCAATTTACCCATGGGTTATCAATAGATTTAATGTGTTTTTGTAAATTGCTATCGGCCAGGATTGCCTGTAGAGGGATCAAGGATATTTTCTGCTCCATGTTTTTCCATTGAGCCTCGTAAAATGGATTACACCAGCATATTATGGCTCCCATCTGTGCTGCATTATAGACATAATTTTAATACAAGTCAGTCATTAATGTGAGTTGCTGTTTATGTCACTCTTTTGAGAAAGATTCATTCACTTGTTTGGCAATGTATACGCGCGCTGAAATTTTCTCTGATTTTTTTTAAATGGTCATTAAATAATGTAATTTGTGTTTCCTGCTAGCTAAATTTCACAAACAAAAATTTACCGGCTCTAAATCTCTCTTTTCCTTATTCAAACTTGATCTAGACAAGTACTTGTTAAACTATACAAATTAACCATGGTTTTTCTACACTAACCATAGTTTAACCATGTTATTTGTGGTAAAACCACGGCTAATTTTCTTAAGGGATTTCTATTTGTGTGTTCGTTGTTTCTTTCTTTTTTCTGTTCTGTTTTTATAACTTTACTGCCTTAATGGTTTGATCATTTGTACTGTTTAATAAAAAAAAATCTGAAAAAAAAGAATCACGATACACGCATTCCGATCTGAATCAAATGATTCACGAACCCGCACCGAAGTCCCGCTCTGAATTTCTGATCTGAATCAAAAGATTTGCGCTCCGTAGTTCCGATCTGAATAATGATTCGCGAACTATCATTTCAGATCGGGACTTCCGAGCGAGGATCGCTCTAAACCCACTCCAAAGTCGCGATCTGAATCAAATGATTTGCGACATGGGAAGTTCCGATGTAAATAAAACGATTCGCGAACCTGCTCCGAAGTCCCAATCTGAATCAAATGATTCGCGAAATGCGTTCCGTTTGAAGCAATTCAAAACAGTGAACCATTTTGCGACGCAATCGTTTAAATGATTCGGTTTTTCAAATCACTATATCTGCTTTTTAAAGGGGTCCTATTATGCTCTTTTACAAAGTCTTGATTTTGTTTTGGGGGTGTACTAGAACACGCTCTCATGCTTGGTGATTCGAAAAAAGCATTATTTTTCACATAATTTACATTATTAAAATACCTTTCTCGCCATCCTGGCACAAACGGCTCGATTAGTTCCAGCTTTGATGAAGGTCCGCGTTCCGAAAAACAAAATGTGTTGTGATTGGTTAGCTGTCCCAGTGCGTTGTGATTGACGAACAGCTTAGACGGTGTTTCAGTACTGCCACGCCCCATGTCTTTCAACAAAAGCTTTTGGCGAATCCGGCACTGTACTCCCTCATGTTGTGGAAGCTGTCCTCAGTAAAATGCGCAGCACACAATAGCAAATTGGGTTTATAATGCTCAGGAACAGAGTTAAAAAATAAATTGCAACCCCTGTTTCCTGACATCATCCGCTTTTGGAAGCCCAAACAAAGACGTTTCAGGTGGTCGCGCACCGGACGAGAAGCGCACCGTTGCGCCACGTCTTTAAAATTCAAATATATTATTTTCTATGAGTGTAGGCACACCGGCGGGGCCGTTCAGCATCTGTCCGCGGCACCCAGCTACGTCGTGTTGTACTTGTAAGAATTGTTCTAGACTTGCCGACAATTTGATGCTACAGCACAGCAGCTCTTCTTCTTGGTTTTCTCTGATGCACTAGCTCTGCAGCAGCACTTCTTCTTCGTCGTCTCGTCTGATGCGCTCACTCAACCAAGCGTTCTAACCACAACCTTGCCCCTCCCCAACCCCCAACCATTCCAATTTCCGTAGGCAGGAATTATTTGTAATGATATTCTAATGAGCCGCTTTGTGACATCACAAAGCCCGGAAAACAAACGCTGTAGTCCAAACAAGCCGTTCGTTGTAGTTCTTGAAAAGGGATTTTTTTTACAAACTAAATATCTCCCTTTGGAGTGGACTTTGAGATTTGTAACTTTCTAGATCTTTTTTATGCCCAAACATACACACTACACACTGACTAAAATTAAAAAAGTGAAAAAGCATAATAGGACTCCTTTAAAATCTTTACAAGTGATGTCTAAATTCAAAAATAGATGGATCTGGTTTTGGCTAGTAATTCGCTTGAACTGAATGATCGAAGTCACGAGTTTGAATCAATCAGAGCGGTTCCAGCGTAAATGACTCACTCAATTGAATCAGTTTGTCTGTTCCTCTGCTTTTGGCGTCTTCAGCCATGTTTACACGACACTGTCTGTACTACTACTGGCTTAGCTCGCTAGTTTTATGATATTAACGGAAATAAGCAAAAAAAAGTATGATGTTTATAAATAAAATACCCATATTTCCATTGCAAAGATAACATCCAACACAAATCTATACAAACATTTTCAGGTGAGGTAACTGGTTTACTGCTAACTTGAGAAAACATTATTAATATGACGAGCTGCACCTCAAAGTAAATGTTAGATGAAAACACACTGCATTATAATCGAGTTTGTAGCTTAATTCACTATATTTGAAATAGTTTGAGCACTGCAGTTCAGTTGGTCACAGTTCAATAGGAAATCAGTTGAAAGCATTAAAGTGAATGTAATTATCAGTGTATACTGTAATAAATATTTGAAAAATTATTATTGTATCTGATTGTATTAGTCTAGAGTGATAGTCGATGTAAAAAGAGCAAATGAGAGAAGCACATGAACAAAACAGCATAACAACATTTAGCTAAACTCTTGGACACCCTGTGACCCTTGGAGCCTAATGTGAGTTTACAAGCATATAGTAATAAATGAATGATAAATGACAGATGATAAATGCATGAGTGTCTCTGTGACAAATAAAGAATTACGTCGTACAATCGTGAAATTCAGAGAGGAAATCAAAAAGGCGGCACTTGAATTCTATCTTGCCCATTTCCTATTTCGCTTCCTTTAGTTCACTTGACTTCTCGTGACAGGAATTATGACGACCGCTGACATCATGCGGAAACGGGAGAAAGAGAGAAACCAATGCAATCAGGTGAGTAAGCGAACATGATGCACTGCATTGAATAAACTCAATGACATCGCGTCAAGAGTCTTTAACTGCAATGACAGCTCCAAACATCTGAAAACACTAGTGAAAATGCTTCTGCTATTCATTTATTATGATTACTTCATTATTCAAGCTGGTCTTTTTTGGTCTGGTTTGCACCAAACCAAAGTGTTTCCACACTGGTATCAGTGAGTGGTCACCAACATCCGCTTCACCAACACCCTGATTATTAGTAACATGGCATGATGACATACTACTGACCATAAAAGGGTGTGAGTCTGAACTCAACCTGTGCTGGACAGGATGCACAGACAATAAAACCTAGTCTTCTGATCTGTAGATTCGGATCTGACCCATCCTTGGGTTTTTTTCACCTGTTTTATGGTCCAGCAGGTGAAGATGGTGCATGTGTTCATTTAGTAAAGTACCAGCACATCTCTCTATACCAGTGATGATTTACCTAGCAAACAAACTGCAACTAATTAAAACTGTTAATGTTTAATGTACTTGAGCATTCCTTAAAGACGACACGACCGACCGTCATGCTCAGTAAACCTCTTTAAGTGTGTGTGTGTGTGAATATATGCCAGTTTCAGGCAGTGAGTGATCATGAGGTCACCCGGTACAGGAAGTGGGACACAGCAGGTAGATGCATTTCCTCTTTCATGAGAACTTTTCATTGTTACAATCCCAGTGCTGTAAAAATTAAAGAATGGGAATCTGAAGTGCCTTTATTTTAAGACTTTCTCACACCTTTATCCAGGATGGGGTGGGCCGTTTACCGGCAGACCACCAAAAAAAGAACTGTGAACCCAATTTGAGGAACAAATGAACATGATATGTGACTTAGTTACATGGTACATGATCAACATCCTTTCTTGATCCTGGAATAGCATTCATATTGAAATATCATTGTCCTAAACCAGGATTCGATAACCTGTTTTTTCATGAAATGCCATTTTTAATTTTCCTAGTTAAACACTGTGCCATACTACAACCTCATTGATATAGTATTAGAGTTTTTGTTCATATTTTGAATTAGATTTCGTTTTATATTTTCTGTTTTAATTTTAATGTTTTACTATAGATTTGTTATGTTTTTGTTGTTTTTTATTACATTTTAGTTTGTATCGTGTTAGTTATTTAGTACTTCAACATTATTAACATTAAACTCTTTTTATTTCAGCTATTTTTGTTTAAGTTTTTATTTTATTTCATTAATCACATTTTTATGGTTTTTATGTTAATAATAACCCTGACTACAACCTTGAATTTTTATATATGCATACATGTATAATTGCATAAACGCATGCATAAATACATTTTATAATAATCATTTATAAAAGTTTAACTGAACAATTAACACATTTCAGTTGAAACCTGAACATGATTGTTTATGTTATCCATGCATAACATGATAAATCGCACACTTACATAGAAATAGAGCAGAATGTTAAATATTTCTGAAGCAATTTTCATAAAATGTTTTATACTTTTGAAGATCCTAAAAATGTGTTTATTTTCAGGTTTAAATTAGATTTCAAGTAACAGATTTCCAATATCCTCCTGAAGCATGAAACATTTATCACAAATTAATATAATAGTGTGCATATCTCCACACTAAAACTGAGCATCTGAAGCCACATATATACTATAAAAATACGGGTTTCACAATGTATTTGAACAGGAATCAATAAATCAGTTTAATGCACCAGCTGCACAGCGGACAGTAAACGCACACTGACGCACGCTGAATGTCACGAGAACGGCTTTACAGTCATCTACTTCTGTTTGTCCAGTCAGCCTGATTCACTTATAACTCAACACTTTAGTTCTGTTTTCACAACATTCCCAACTTCATCATGCCATAATTCAGTCCTCAAATAAGCGTAACATGAAAAGTTGATAAGAATGTTGTTAAAACCCTAAAACTAATCTGCCTGCCTGATATGAATATTATTCCAGCACCCGCACGGATGTTGATCCAGGAAAATGTTCTAGTGTAAATCATGGTAAAGAGATAGTTCACCCAAAAATAACAAATTTGCTGAAAATGTCCTCACCCTCAGGCCATCCAAGACGCAGATGAGTTTGTTTCTTCATCAGATTTGGAGAAATGTAGCATTGCATCACTGAGTATGTTTACATGGACAACAATATTCTGATTTTAACACGATTAAGACAATACTCTGATTAAGAATCTACCATGTAAACAGAGATTTCTGATTACCTTAATCCGGCTAAAGTCATACTCGAAGTAAACACTAATCGAATTAAGACGTGGAGTATTCCTATTTTAGTTGCATTATTGAAGTGAAGTGACGTGACATGTGGCCAAGTATGGTGACCCATACTCGGAATTAGTGCTCTGCATTTACCCATCCAAAGTGCACACACACAGCAGTGAACACACACAAACCGTGAACACACACCCGGAGCAGTGGGCAGCCATTTATGCTGCGGCGCCCGGGGAGCAGTTGGGGGTTCGGTGCCTTGCTCAAGGGCACCTCAGTCGTGGTATTGAAGGTGGAGAGAGCGCTGTACATTCACTCCCCCCACCTACAATTCCTACCGGTACGAGACTCGAACCCACAACCTTTTTGGTTATGAGTCCGACTCTCTAACCATTAGGCCATGACTTCCCCTGAGTGCAGTATAGACATGTACTCACCTGAATCACACTATTATCGTCGTGTAGGACTTTTCTCCGCATTTTGCGACAGGACACACACACGGCAGTGCTCAACAGTTTGACGGCAAACAAAAGAGCATGGCTTCAACAATGCCGTCGTCTGTTTGCACGCAGCGACAGCATGACAAATAATTAATTGCACTTGAAGCTTTCAGTAAATTAAAAATGAAACACCCAAAACATAACGAAGATGAACTATATGTTTATACGTGAAATTCTGGAGCGGACGTCGGATGGCGTCACATGAGGACTGACGTGTGCCATTAATCGATCTATGTACTATAACATGTAAAACGGGAACATGACAAAAGAAACTCATGTAAACACCTTAATCATAATATTGCCTTATTCAAAATAAGGTAAATAATTAGATTACTGATGTCCATGTAAACGTAGTCATTTGCTCAGCAGTGGATGCTCTGCAGTGAATGGGTGCCGTCAGAATGAGAGTCCAAACAGCTGATAAAAACATCACAATAATCCACAGCACTCCAGTCCACCAGTTAACATCTGGAGAAGACAAACGCTGAGACAAATCCATCATTAAGACGTTTTTAACTTCAAACCTTTACTTCTTTCTAAAATATCACTCTTTTTCTTCCAGTGAAAAAGTCCATCTCCTCTTGTCTCTCACATCAAATTCCACCCACATATTTGTTTTAAGCTATTCTGGACTGTTTTGGCTTGTAAACGGTGCTTGATCTGTGCAGATTTCTCTCCTGATTCAGACCAGACGTTTTCACTGGAGGAAGCGTTATTATGCTTAGCGGATTCATATTTTAGTTGGAAGCAAAGGCTTGAAGTTAAAAATGTCTCGATGCATTTGTTTCTCACAAACACGCAGCTTTTGTCTTCTCCAGACGTTAACTGATGGACTGGAGTGCTGTGGATTACTTGTGGATGTTTTTATCAGCTGTTTGGGCTCTCATTCTGACGGCACCCATTCACTGCAGAGGATTTATGAATGTGAAATGCTTGTCTGTATATCTTTGTTTTAATGAAAAAAGGAACCGTGTTGTACCTTATTTTGCCAGAGAGTGACATTCCCGAAGCCTCCGGTTCCCAGTCGCTCCTTCAGTTCCCAGGGGCCGCACATCTGCGGCTGCATTGAGGGTGGACGGCTCATAACGAGTCCTTGCAATCACTCACATACAAACCCTGCAGAGGAGAACAATATCAGAACGATGACTGTCTGTATAACTAACAGTGTTGGGGAAAGTTACTTTTAAAAGTAATGCATTACAATATTGCGTTACTCCATAAAAAGTAAGTAATTACGTTACTTAGTTACTTTTTTATGGAAAGTAATGCGTTACGTTACTTTTGCGTTACTTTTTAAATCTGGACAGGGCTTGCTTGTTTGTTATTAAAATAAAAAAGTTATATTTTTGGCAAATATAAAAGCCTTTTCACACCAAAAGTGAAATGAATAAGCCTCAGGCTGAAGGGAAAGTACATTTACGTCCTTACAGTAGAATGCAGAACACACACACATATATAAACACACTAGGTCTATATGTTCTACACACACACACACACACACACACATATATAAACACACTAGGTCTATATGTTCTACACACACACATATATAAACACACTAGGTCTATATGTTCTATGTGTGAGACTTCAAAACAAGAAAGTGAACTACTTTCTGTTTTTAAACGGGGTTGAATATATTGTGACTTTATGAAACACTGTTTTGTTGTTTATAATCGGCGTATCTTTGTACACAAGATCAGATCAGTTCAACAATCTTTCAGAAATCTGCTATATTATATAAGAAAACTAACTAAAGTTCAGGTATTGAAAGCTGTTTATTCGGAGTATATTGTATATCCGCGCAAAAGCAGCTCGTGCAGAATCTGACACATTGTACCGTCATTAATGTGAAGTGACTTTACCTGTCAGATCTGATCTGATCTACACGAAAACACAAGCTCCAAAACACTTTTCTTCGTCTTAGAACGGATTATTCCTGCGAGCTTTACACACACACGCGGATTTCTTCAGTAAATGTTTTATGATTGCGTTTTGAAAGCAGAAGAGCTTTGAGTTTCTCTACTTCCTGAAACTTTCCTTTCCCGTAAACACTGTAAAAGCGCGGACGCACGAGAGAAATATCCGTACTCACGGTAGGCTACTATACTACACATACTACGATACTAAGCACAGACGATCATTATACTGTATAATAAACGTACCTAATAAAGAACTATACTAGACTATACCACACACAACACGACGAGAGGTTTAATGAACGCGCAATCCCTCTAAAATCAGTCTTTCTGAACAAACTTCAATGAACACGTTTATAATGAGAATACTTCAGTTTATTTGAAGTTTAGATCTATCTATCTATCTATCTATCTATCTATCTATCTATCTATCCATCCATTCATCCATCCATCCATCACCAAATTTCAGGATTTTCAGGCCAGGTTTCCTCAAGCCAACATCAAAGTTTGTAATAGTAATTTACTAGTTTTAATGAGTAAATGTGCATTCAAATAGTGAAAAAATGCCACTAAAATTTAATTACTATATTTTCATGTAAGTTATATTTAAATCAGAATTACCTAGAGATATGTTGTCTACTTTATGCAGGCTGTGTGCATTTTACTGTGGACTGACTGTTTTGAAAATTATATGGTAGTTACATAGCACCTAGTCCTCAGTTATCATGAAAAAAGCCTGGGGATTTCAGTTTTGACAATATGGGACCCTTAAAAACGTTCATGAACAAAACAAGTGAGCGAGTCACTGAATCATTTACAGAATCGGTTCAATCAACAACACGGTTTCATGCAGCAGCGAAACAATTGAGTGAGTCATTGAATCATTCGCTAAACCAATTCGTTCAACCAACAGCAATATGTTTGATTAAGGAAGAAACATTTTGCTTTGGCTTTATTTGAATATTTTTTCGTTGGCGGAGCAAAAACAGTCAAAGCAACTGGCAATATTGTGTCTAAAATGTAAGTTAGGCTACTCCATATTAACTTAATGTTTATTGTATAAAAACTTAATATCCCACAATCACGCTGTCACTTTGTTAATAGTAACAGGAGCTGTCATCGCTAGTTAATGTGAGCCTCTTTTTAACTACTATAACTTTTCCTTTCTCAGCTCTTGTCACCTCCACATCCGGGGAAAACCAGACCAAAACCAACGTGTTTAGAACCATGACTGAAGTTAGGACGTCACAATGATTTTTCCCTCATAACACACACGTACCAGAATATATGCGGCCACATAATAGTGGAATGAGCTACTAAATACACCAGGGGTTAGCGGTTAACAGCACAGGCGCCCGAGGTAATTTAGTCTTCTAATTTGTCGTCTTAATTTTCTGCTGAGGAAAGCACAGTCTTCATGAACAGTCTGATATGGACTAACAGATGTACAGTGAAATTAGACAGCCGGAAAAATAGGAAGCAGGGATATTTTCTTGTTTTCTGCGATTAAAGCCTCATGTAATTATCAGAAACAACTACTACTTTTCTTTATTATTTTTGTTTGATGTAGGGACGTTTTCAGTTCTCCTTAATTTCACACAGGCTACACTGTAAAAAATGTTTTTTTATAAGTTATAGAAGTAAGTTTTACAAGAAGTCTTTCTACTTTAAAAATGTCACTTGATGTGCATTTGTTTGTAGGCTACACCATTTTTTTCAGAGCAGGCGTAGTTCTATTAGTAGTTCTATTAGTACTTCTATTAGTAGGCCTATTAGCAGTTCTGTTAGTAGTTCTATTAGTAGTTCTATTAGTAGGCCTATTAGTAGTTCTGTTAGTAGTTCTGTTAGTAGTTCTATTAGTAGGCATATTAGTAGGCCTATTAGTAGTTCTGTTAGTAGTTCTATTAGTAGGCCTATTAGTAGGCCTATTAGTAGTTCTATTAGTACTTCTATTAGTAGTCATGTTAGTAGTTCTATTAGTAGGCCTATTAGTAGGCCTATTAGTACTTTTATTAGTACTTCTATTAGTAGTTCTATTAGTAGGCCTATTAGTAGTTATATTAGTAGTTCTATTAGTAGGCCTATTAGTAGTTCTATTAGTAGGCCTATTAGTAGTTCTATTAATAGTTCTATTAGTAGGCCTATTAGTAGTTATATTAGTAGTTCTATTAGTAGGCCTATTAGTAGTTCTATTAGTAGGCCTATTAGTAGTTCTATTAATAGTTCTATTAGTAGGCCTATTAGTAGTTATATTAGTAGTTCTATTAGTAGTTCTGTTAGTAGGCAAATTAGTACTTCTATTAGTAGTTCTATTAGTAGTTCTATTAGTAGTTCTATTAGCGACTATTTATCTCAGTTCGGACTTCTTCACAGTTTAATTCTGAGGGGGAAAAAGCCAGAACTGGCAGTTTATATCTCGTAATTTTTTTCTCAGAATTGGTAGAAAAAAGGAAGAATTTCGATAAATAAACTCAGAATTCAGAGTTTACGTCAATTCTGAATTAATAGCGTACACGTTCAGAAAAAAAGGTACAAAAGCTGTCACTGGGACCTTTTCAAAAGGCACACTTTTGTACCTTTTAGGTACTAATATGGACTGTTTAGGTACAAAGGTGTGCCTTTTTTACTTGCCCCAGTGACAGCTTTTGTACCTTTTTTTCTGAGAGTGTAGGGTACAGCCTATCGTATTTTGCAATTGTCTTTTTTATATTAAAAAAAGTATTTTTTTCTAGTGAATTTTTATCTTACAGTTATGTTTCTCAATGTTTTATCGAAATTGCCAGTTATATCTCTCCATTCTGATTGGATCTCTTCGACTTCAAAAAAGTCAGAATTGTGAGGTAAAACATTTTAAGCCTATGTTTCCGTGGCTGACACGCGCTTCATAGCTTTTGCTATCTTTCTTTACAATAACTGACACTTGATGTTGTCTAATAATGCACTGCCTTGCGTACATATTTACGTGCCAACATACTTAGGATGAGTATTACATCACTGACTCACTGACCTCACACACTTATCGGACATTCCCGTCCCTCTCCCCGCCCCGCATCAGCATCATCACCTCCGGCATAAATATCCTGAGATTCACGAGCTCAGACACAGAGACACGGAGGAGAACCAGAGAGACGCTTTAGTTTGGATTCAAGAGGACGCAGAGTACAGCGCACTTGTTTGGAGAGGTGAGACGCGAACACACGCTTTATTTCACGCTTAAACATGTTTCGCTTTCTGCGTTTGAGCTTAGAACAGGGCTGTGATTCATAACACAGAGCTGTCTTCCTAGACAGCAGCATTTCGGGGCATCATAAGCGCCGATGATGCCCAAAAAGGCTGTCGTAGTTCGCAGCGAACTGGGATTTGAGACACCACCGAGTATGCATTTATTTCACTTACATATTCTACAAAACTGCAAAGTGTATGAAAAAAAATAAAAAAAATTTTTAAATATATATAGGCTATATATACATATATATTGACTTGAGGATCAGATTTTTGTTTACCTATCATTACAGTGCATAGCTTAATATATAGATAATATAGCTATAATATAAGCAAAATTGAGCATTTATTATATAAAACCATACTTACTGGTATAATAGTAAACAAACTGGGATTTGAGGCACTTCCAAAGAGTTATGCACATATTTTACTTACATAGACTACAAATTTGAACTTGTACATGTGCAGTTGTTTCCTTAAACAGCTATTTATACCTGATTCTTAAAATGACTTATTTTATACTTGTAAATTGTGATGTCAGATTGATTCAGTCATTTAATAATATAAATATTGACATGTTATGTAATATGCAACTATAATTTAAGTAAAATCTAGTATGTTTCTATTATAGATCTAGTATAAAATTACTTTCAGTCAGTTTTTTAAATGTTTATACATTGTAAATGTTGTACGTGTGCAGTTGTTGCCTTAATAATCTATTTGTACCTGATTTAAACTTGTGAAGGTGACTTATGATGGTGCAGCTCAAATTGATCTGGTTTGGCTTGAATAAAACCGGTTACTTTAGGTTTAACCACAAGGAGCACTTTGTATTTTCACAGTATATGTATAAAATGCATATAGTGCTTGAGATCTGCATACTCTAGTACACTGCAGTCATCAGATGTTCATCCAGCACTTACAGTACTCAGACTATAATTCATGTTGGCTCCTTCAGGTTCGCGTGACGTTGATGCTCAGGAATTCGTTATTCCCTTAATAACACTCTGCTGTGTGTAAATCCGCTCTTATCTGCAGAAACAGCATGCGTCTAAAAACGTAATTCGCATGGGAGATACTGGGTGTCAGACACTCTTTAAAGGAACACTCCACTATTTTTGAAAATAGGGTCATTTTCCAACTCCCCTAGAGTTGAGTTTTACCGTTTTCGAATCCATTCAGCCGAACTCCGGGTCTGGCGGTAGCACCTTTAGCTGTAGCTTAGCATAGATCATTGAATCTGATTAGACCGTTAGCATCTCGCTCAAAAATGACCAAAGAGTTTTGATATTTTTCCTATTTAAAACTTGACTCATCTGTAGTTACATCGTGTACTAAGGCCGACGGAAAATGAAAAGTTGCGATTTTCTCGGCCAATATGGCTAGGAACTATACTCTCATTCCGGCGTAATAATCAAGGAGCTTTGCTGCCGTAACATGGGTGCCGCAGGCACAATGATATTACGCAGCGCCTGAAAATAGTCCCCAGCACGCTCCCTGTTCAAGCAGGTGGTCACGTTGGTTATGTTGATGGAAGTTAGCCTATTTTCAGGCGCTGCGTAATATCATTGTGCCTGCGGCACCCATGTTACGGCAGCAAAGCTCCTTGATTATTACGCCGGAATGAGAGTATAGTTCCTAGCCATGTCGGCCTAGAAAAGCGCAACTTTTCATTTTCCGTCGGTCTTTATACACTATGTATCTACAGAAGAGTCAAGTTTTAAATAGAAAAAATATAGAAACTCTTTGGTCATTTTTGAGTGAGATGCTAACGGTCTAATCAGATTCAATGATCTATGCTAAGCTACAGCTAAAAGTGCTACCGCCAGACCCGGAGATCGGCTGAATGGATTAGAAAACAGTAAAACTCAACAGTTTAACTCTAGGGGAGTTGAAAAATGAGCCTATTTTCAAAAATAGTGGAGTGTTCCTTTAAGACTGCTCCTAATCTAAAAAGGCTTGCAAAATTAACCTACCAGACCAGAATGAGTACAAACCGCCTCTGGCTTTTATTGAGATCAGGTTTATGGTGTATGTTTGCAGTCGGCTCACAGTCAGCACATTTACAGCACGCTCTAATGCATAAGCTCTGTGCTTTACAGACACACTTCTGTGCTGGTGGCTCTTTGTTGGTTTAAGTCAGATTCCTTAAAGGCTTCTCGTAACTCACCAGATCTGCATATGTGCTGATGTTAAAATGTTATTAGTTGTTTTGGCCTCAAATTGCAGGCAGCTTCTCTTATCCTGTGCTTGTTCAGCCCTCATATTTATCGAGCGCTTACAGATGGACAGATGCAGGACAGATAGACAGACTCGGAATGAGAACGCTGTGTGTGTGTCTCTCTTTCTCTCTGCGCGCAGTGACTCAGCTTCACTCCTTTATAAGCTTTTTGACTCACTCATCACGTTTGCTGTAATCTATTCCTCTATTCTTCCCTCCCACATGTCTTTCTGTTTGCTGGACAATGGCACACTGTTCTGCCTTTGGGTCCGAAAGTAAAGATTTAACACAAATGCACACAAACGTGTGTGTATGTGGATGTCAAATGTTGCATGTTTTCCCTTTGCAACGGTGCAACAACTTGTTCAGTTAAAACATTCTTAATACAAGATTGGAGAGGTGAAACTGACACATTAATGTGATTTGTTTCGTTACATTTAATTGGATCGTGCACTTTCACGTCTGTGTTCAAAAATGTGAGTGACAGTTAAGGGGTTGGTCTCTATTCCACACGGGACACTCACAATGTCAGACAAAAGAAAAACAGATCATGAAGCCATTAAACCCTTTCTTTATTTAGACTAAAAATGCCCACACATTACCACAAAACTTTGTTTCAGAGTGGAAACAGATTGTCATTGCATTTCTGCTGATGCCATGACACATTTTTGTGTAATTAGAACCAGTGTTATGTTAGTATCACTTTATAGTTTTTATTTTTCCATTTCGAGTTTTAAAGAGTCAGTACTGTTGTTTTTGCCATTTTTAATATTAAAAAAAATATTTCTATATATTTTTATTACTTTTTCATTTCATTTTTTCCATTAATATATAAAAAGCAATGTCTGAGCAATATCATTTTAATATGAAATGTGTAACAAACCTTTCTGTTTTGCAGGAGTTTACAGAGAAACCTTCAGGTCAACATGAATGTATTACTAAACCTGCTGTTGCTGCTTTTTGCTTTGTGCTGTGCTGCAGATCCGAAAGTAAGTGTGTGTGTGTGTGTGTGTGTGTGTGTTAGTGAGAGAGAGAGAGATGTTAATGCATGATATCTGGATTGAACAATATTCTGCATCTCTGACAGGTGCTCAATATCAGACAGAAGAGAGGCACGCGGACAAATAGAGGTGAGTTTTATTCTGACCTGTCAACTTCATCTCTGGCTGTGATGCATGTATTGCATGTTATTTCTGCAGTAGCTTATTATTGTGCTAATTTCCTCTATGCATGGAATACAACACTTCTGCTGGTGTGACTCAGACAGATAGATAGATAGATACATAGATAGAATGAACTTGAGTCAGATTAATTCTAGTGAATTGATTTATAAGTGGCAATGAAAAGTCCAATTCATTGTAGTGATTCGGTTCGTTCGAACAATTTATGTAATTGAACAGATTTAGAATCGAATCGAATCCCACAATGTTTTTAAATCGGTTATATGTAAATGAAGATGTTTTTTTGTTGTTGTTGTTATTGTTATTGTTTCTTTTGATACTGTTCCATACTGTCATCTTAATTGAGTTCATTCATATGGCTCTTGATTAAATCATTATATATCAATTCCACTTATAATTTGACTCATATGACTGCCAAAAGTATTTTTTAAATGGATTAAAAATGGAATGTTTTTGTTTTCAAGATGGTAACTGTAATAGTAAGCTGTATAATGTATCCGGCAAACAAATGCAATCATATCCTCAGTATGTTGGTGTCCATTAGGGTGTGCGCTGTTCACAGGAAAAACATACATGTCACACAATCACAAGCAGAACTTCAGCCTTCAGGACAAACACATCAAGACTGTGTCTTCTCTTTCATTCCAGACTGAAGCACCTTTTGTGCTTTGTTTGTTTCTGTCCTCTCTGTCTTTCCCCAGTCTGATGTGGAGGAGAAGGCTTGAGTCATTTCATTTGCATCTATCCCTGACCACAACCATTATGTCTTAATTTCCTTGTCATTTTGTGTCTGTGTGTGTCAGACGCTTGTGTGGACGCTAATTCGGCCACGGTCAGAGAAATTGGGGCGGCGTGGCTGCGATGGAAGGGTCAGAAAGTTGAATTCTGCCGCTGCGCCGTTCGAGCAAGAGTACGCTGTCATGAGATACCGGTGACCAGTGAGTGATCACACGCTCTATCAAGATATAAAGATCTGTATAACAGACTAACCTTTTTTAAAGAAAAAGGACCATTTACTGTTTTATTGATAAAATAATAAGTGTATATAAAGTACACAAGGTGTATGTTTTATGTTTCCCTTTGTGTGTGTGTTTCTGTTCACTGAATGAAAAACACAGCATTTCTGCAGCACCACCTGTTTTAGTTCAAATCATTTCAATTTGAGAGTAGAGACACACAGAGCGTCTCCTCCCCACGAGTCACCCGCTGGTCACGGAAAAATCACTGGAATTAAAAACATGTGTGATTTTGAATTATGCCACAGTATGAGCCGTACGACGACTTGACCACAATTTATTGATCCTTATGTTGTAAAAGTTGTTCTATTTCTGAATATAAAATGATGTAATCATTATGCAAAACCACTTTACACCCAAGTAATTACGAATACTTTGGAAGGACCAAAAATGTTCGTAGCACACTTAGAATAGCATTTCTAAGCAATAAAATAAATGTGATTTATTAAACTCAGAAACAGTCTGCGATGGACACCCAGATGTTTATTGTTCTGTTTTTCAGAATGTTTCGTGTCTAAGTGTTATAATGGAGGGACGTGTAAAGAAGCTGTTTACTCCAGTGACTTCATCTGCCAGTGTCCGCCCGGGTTTACAGGAACACAGTGTGAAATCAGTAAGTCATCAGCAGTTGACCTTGTAGCAAATACTGCTATTTATCACTGTTCAGAGGTTTTTAGTAATACTAATTTTACGTATATATAATTTTGTTTTCGTTTTGTATTATTACTTGCTAGTAAAAGCAATATTACTTACTATTTTTCGTGAACTACTATTACTAGTATAAATCACTAACTTAAAACTTATTTTAGCATCATTACTTGCGAGTAAAATTGGTGTAACTAGTACTATTTTTACTGTATCATTTCTTGCTAGTAAAAGCAATATTACTTACTATTTTTCGTGAGCTAGTATAGCTAGTATAAATTACTAACTTAAACTTATTTTAGTATCATTAGTTGCTAATAAATATAGAGTAACTAGTATAACTTATTTTAGCATCATTACTTGCGAGTAAAATTAGTGTAACTAGTACTAGTGTATAATTTCTTGCTAGTAAAATAAGTGTAATTAGTATAACTTACTATTTTTAGTATCAGTAGTTGCTTGTATAATTAGTGTAACTAGTACACTAACTAATAGTTAGTACACTTACTGTTGTTAATAGTATTAGTTGCTAGTAAAACTAGTATAACTTGCTGTTTTTAGAATTATTAGTTGCTAGTAGAATTTGCATAATTAGTATAACATACTAGTTTTAGTAGTATTATTTGCCAGTATAACGATCAAACTCAATTTTTTATATATATATATATATATATATGTGTGTGTGTGTGTGTGTAAACATTTTTTTAAATATTTTTTTTTGTAAGAGAAATAAATACTAAAATAAATAAAAGCCAATTATAACACATTAAAACAAAAAACCTAAGCAGTGCTTAATATATATTGCAAGTAATTTAGAAAGTTTTAAGGCATTTCTTTTTCAGCTGCTTTAAGGATTGAAATGATAAATTCATTTTTAAATGCCACAAAACTTGGAGCAATGCACATTTGTGTAAATAAAACTTACATATAATCAAAATATTATTACACAAAAATTCAATGTCTTTGTTTTGCATAAATATGTAAATCATATATATGTATCTATATCAAAGTACCATTACTGTATCATAAAGCCAGTCACAACATTGCTTTAACCGTAGTTAAAGCGTTTCTGTTCACTTCTTAGGCCCAACAACAGCTCTTAACCTTTAAGTGTGATAAAAACACTGTAAAGTCTCATCCTCAATGTTCCTAAAGCATCAGAAATCAGGTCTCCATCTCTAACTCTCTGGCTGTTTTCTCTCACAGGAACCCGGATGGTGACCTGGGCCCCTGGTGTCACGTCTATAAAGGGTCTCAGTTGACCTGGGAGCTCTGTGACGTCCCTAAGTGCCGTAAGTCTGCACTGCTGCCATGACAGCTGATCAATATGAGTCACTGATGCACTTCACTGTTTAGTCTTGGAGTGATTGAAGGTTTCCCCAAACAAGGGTATCATTTCCACCATATTTGTGGAGAGACGTTTACAGCATTTTGGAAGTATTCCACCAAATAAAAGCTTGTTTTTTTTTGTATCATAGAGATTATTAATAAATAAATAAATAGATAGCTAGATAGATTGATAAATATTTTAGTAATTTTGTTGTGTTTTCATCATTTCTATTAGTCATTGTTTTTTTAATGTCAGTAGTTTTTATTTTTATTTTGGTTTTAGTTATTTTAGTCCAATAACTCAGTTAAACTTTATTTCATGTAGCTAAACTAAATGAAAATGAGAAATGTTGCTTTGACAACTAGCTGAATTTTTAAAAATATTATTTCAGTTAATGTCTGTTTTTAGTTAAGCAAGGAAAATGTTTTTTATTGGTTTAGTTAATGATAATAACCTTGTTAGATATATTTAAAGCCGTAAAATGTTTGAAAGTGAAGAATTTAAGACAAATATTAGTATTGTAACTTTTTTTTTAAATTTCACAATACAATTGTAATTTACCACAGTAAATATTTGTAAATTTTTATAATCAGCTAATAATAATAACAATAATTATTATTATTATATGATAATAATAATAATTATTATTATTGTTATTATTATTGATTTGACTAATTAATAAAAATAAGTGAATAAATAACACACAATTAAATAAACAGATAATAAAGATAAAAATAATAATTATTATTGTCATGCTTTAACTAATATAATAATAATTATTATAATTTTTTATTTTTTAATTATTATTCAATTGAATTAGGTTCCTAAAATAGCTGAGTAAATGTAATGTGGACTCAATATGCACCACGTTTAGGTTAAAATTCGCCCTTAATCATTTAAATCAGTCCTGACATATTAATGTTTCTAAATTTTGTGTGTGGGTGCTTTTTTAACAGTATTTGTCTTGCTTCCACAGCGAGGAAAACTCCATCGATCACCACACTTGGTCCACGAGCCCCGATAACCACCAACACTCAAGGTGAGACGGTGAAAGATAACTAGACTTTTATATTTTGTAAAGAAAGCGAGTGGTGTTTTCTCTCACATGTGTGACTCTGGTGTTTCGGGATTGTGATCTCTTGAGTTTTTTCTGGCACTCAGGTTCCTGCGGTCAGCGAGTTGAAGCTCCTTCAAACTCTCTGCCCATGTTCAGGATTCGTGGAGGTCAGGTCAGCGATATCAGAGAGCAGCCGTGGCAGGCCGCCCTCACCGTCTATCTGCCACGCGCTAAATCATACAGCTTCCTCTGCGGCGGTGTCCTCATCGACTCCTGCTGGATCCTCACCGCTGACAAAGTAGTCCGTGTGACGTCAGTGGTTCAACTGTAAAGTTACGAAGCTACGAGAATACTTTTTTGCGCAAAGAAAACAAAAATAACATCTTTATTCCACATTTTCGTCTCTACTGCGTCACTTGTGGACGCACGTTCACGACAGTATCATGACGTGAGCCTGTGGCGGCGCTGACCCAGATCCAGCGTAATGACTAAATAAAGTAGTTATTTTTGTTTTCTTTGCGCAAAAAAAGCATTCTCGTAGCTTCGTAACTTTACAGTTGAACCACTGATGTCACACGGACTACTTTGCAGATCATCTTGGTACTTTTCTGGACCTTGAACGTGGTAGTTACCTTGCCGTCTATGGGAGGGTCAGAGAGCCCTCATGTTCCGAAGATGAACGGAGGTCTTACGGGTTTGGAACAACACGAGGGTGAATAATTAATGACAGAATTATAATTTTTGGGTGAACTAACCCTTTAATACATCACATTAAAGATAGATTAACTTGAGATGCAAATGTAAATGAACGACAAACTGAACAAAATGAAGCGAGTTTATGCTTAAAACAAGAACAAATATAATATCAATAGGATATATGAAAGCTTCCCTTTTAACTAAGTTGATTTTTTCAGATCCCATTGGCAGATATTTGTTCTTGAAGGTCTTGAATTTTTTAAAATGTACCGTATGTATTTATTATTTTTAATAATCTGTGTTCAGATTTGATGAGAAGCGTCTTCGAGTGGTTCTGGGCCGAACCTTCAGGCTTCAGAACTCCAGCAGCGAGCAGATCTTTGACGTGGAGAAATACTGGATTCATGAGCAGTACGACGACGAGACGTATGACAATGATATCGGTGAGACTTCAAATCATTCACTGACAAATCAAATCACACACACGCCACTAGAATCCATTCTGCACTCTTACACACAGAAAACAGATCCTGACGATTATTACGATCATCAGCTCACAGTCAGCTGGTGGCAGGGATACTGTAATTATATGCTTTTATATTTTATGTATATATTTTTTTATATATTTAAATATACACTATTGTTTAACAATTTGGGGTCAGTAGGGTTTTTTTATGGTTTTAAGTCTCTTCTGCTCACCAAAGCTGCATTTATTTGATTAAAAATGGCGTAAAAATAGGGAAATATTATTAGACTTCACTATATCTGTTAAACTGTAATGTATTTCTGTGATGCACAGCTGTATTTCCAGCATCATTACTCCAGTCTTCAGTGTCACATGATCTTCAGAAATCAGTATAATATGCTGATCTGCTGCTCGAGAAACATTTCTGATTATTATCAATGTTCAAAACAGTTGTTACATTGTATTTTTCAGGATACTTTGATGAATATAAAGTTCAAAAGAACAGCATTTATTTAAAATAGAACTCTTTTGAAATGTATTTATTGTCACTTTTGATGAATTTAATGCATCCTTGATGAATAAATGTATTTTTAGTAGAATCTTTCTGACCCCAAACTTTAGAACGGCAGTGTGTTTAATATTCTAATTTAGACTTTAGAAAAACAATCTATTGACTAATCCTAAAAGAGGTTTTGATATTGTTTGTGTTTATGAAATGTGGATTTTCTCTTACGTGTTTTATAATAGCACATACTAATAGAGTATATTAGCATGTACTGTAATTTGGTCATCATTTCAGTATTTATAAAGTTATAAATGTCATTTGAGTCGTGAGTGATTTCCTGTCGTCTTCCTCGTGTCTTCAGCTCTGCTCAAGTTGAAGAGTGAGTTCGGTATCTGTGCCGTTCACTCTCCAGAAGTTCTGCCTGCATGTTTACCAGAACCTAACCTGGTTTTACCGGATTGGACGGAGTGTGAGATCTCTGGTTACGGGAAAGAGGAAGAGTGTAAGATTTCTTATCAGAAGTACTGTGTGCCACACTTGCATATCTCACTGCAAAAAAAAATTACTTGTTTTTTTTTGTACATTTTGTTTTTTTTTCAAATTTTTAGAATCTATCTAAAACTCCTTCAAAGAAGATACATTTACATGAGAAGCAACTCTGCACAAGAAATTAAGACTTCTTTTAATAGATTGTGTGTTTAATGCGAGTGTACCGCACTAGTAGATTCTTTCACATGCTTTAAAAATGAGAGAAAGCATCTGCTGTTGCTGTAAAAAAAAATAATTATAATAATAATTTTAAAAAAATTATGAAAATAAGGGGAAAATCTGCCGGTGGAGTAAGACAAAATATTTTTTTTTAAATGGGAAAGACCCAATTATTTTTAAGAATAAGTGAAAAATCTGCCAGAGCAGTAAGAATTTTTTATTTTTTTTTAATAAGTGAGAGCATCTGCCAGTGCAGTAAAAATACATGAATAAATAAGTGAAAAATCTGCCAGCACGGTAAGACAATAAAAAAAAAAAAAAAAAGAAAATAAGTGAAAAGCTACCAGTAAGGCAAAAATTTTAAGAGTGAAAAATCTGCCAGTGCATTAAAATAATACATTTTAAAAAGTAAATGAATCTGCCAGTGCAGTAAGAAAAACAAGTAAAAAGGCTTAAACCAGTCTTAAAATCTTGTGCAGTGTTGCTTAAGTAAACTTACCTTGTTTGAAGGATTTTAAGGTATTTTAACTGAAAAACAAGATAAAAACACTCATTAAGATTTTTTGCAGTGCTTCTTGATAGTCCAGATAACACTAAAGTGACTGAGGAACTTTATGATCATTTTTCTTTCTTCTGTCGTCGTCTCTCTCAGTTTCTCCGTTTTACTCGGAGCGAATTAAGCGTGGTCGGGTGCGCTTGTGGCCGCAGGAACAGTGTGTCCCGGAGAAGCTGGCTGGCCGTCTGGTGACCCCAAACATGCTGTGCGCCGGAGACACGCGCGGCCTGGACGACGCCTGCAAGGTGACCACACATTTACATTTACATTTACATTTAGCAGACAAACCACACATTCAGCCTCGGTTTACATTACCAGTGTTGGGGAAAGTTACTTTTAAAAGTAATGCATTACAATATTGCGTTACTCCCTAAAAAAGTAGCTAATTTAATACATAGTTACTTTTTATGGAAAGTAATGCGTTTGAGTTACTTTTTAAATCTGGGTAGGGCTTGCTTGTTTGTTTTTAATATAAAAAAGTTCTTCTTTTACAAATGTAAAAGCCCTTTCACACCAAAAGTGAAATGAATAAGCCTCAGGCTGAAGGAAATGTAAATTCCCGTCTGTACAGTAGAGGGCGCAGCTCAGACAAATCACATGAAGAATATGACGCAGGAGAAGAAACGTTCAACACTATTCAGCAATAACACAAATGAAACACATGTCAGGTTGAATTGGATCATCGAAGGGCAGTAGCAAAGACCTTGGTTAATAAAATAGGATTAAATACATAAACGATATTTAACTTATTTAACTCTTGTGCGTCAATTAAAAAAAGTTACACATAGGTCCATTGTGGACAAAAATATCCATGTCATAAAAACTTGAAGCTTGGGAGCGCAGAGTTAAGTTTGGTCTCATTTTAAAAGAAGACCAATGGCAGATTATTGTTGAAGTAAAAAAAATTTAAAAAGTGAAACCAAAAAAAAGTTATAGAGGTTTAAGTTTATGAAAATGATTTATGAACGATATTTTATATAAAATATATATTTTATGAAACATGTTGAACTCTATACCTGCTAGAAAATCAAAGCCATAAATCTAAACAAGTTGTGTTCCAAATTTGAGGTTGATATCTCCAAAAATGAGCTTTCAGTAAGATTGTGTGGGCGCAGTACCAAATTTTCCCCATTAGATGCCAGCAAAACTCTGCTGGTGCACACAGTGGATGGATTTGTGATTTGCAGTAGAGTTTTTCTCTCTCAAATATTACAAGAGCACACACACAATTTTTTTTGACACACATACAAACCACACTCTGACATCCATACCAACACACCCACACAATTATAGCTGCATTATTTATACAATTGGCTCTATAATATGCAGAAGCAGAAAACAGGAATTAAGCGAGTATTTGCTTTATAGGCCAAACCTGAAAAAAATTGCACCATCTGGTAAACAAATAGTAAAAAATTTAATTTTAAAGCCTTGCCAACAGAATGAAAGCCTATTAACAAAAATGCATCATTTTACAGTTAAATGGCACTGCGATTAAAAATAGCAGATTTAATGGATCTCAATGGGGACATTTTTGTCCTTACGGTCCTGAGAGGAACATTTTTTATACCTAGTGCAAAACAGATTTATCAAAGGAAATTGAAGTGAAATAGTAAAATTCCAATAAAAATACACACCTGTGCCAAAATATTTGGCAATAACACAGGCGAAATGCAAAAAAACCCACAAAAAGACAAAAATGTCCAAAAGGTTGCACAAGGGTTACAACTATTGCGGGTTTGCGTAATAATCTGACTTTGCATTTGACTGTTTTTATTCATTTTGAGGAATACTGAATCTGTTTATGTGCAGGTGAGATGAATAAACATGTTCATATTTAGTCTAGAACTACAGTAAGCATCATGTTCACACAACGCTCTGCACTTACTCCCGATTTCTCTCAACATGGCAACACCAGAGCTGTCAGTCAATACATGGTATAACAAAGTAACTGGAGTTACATTTTAAAAAAGGAACGCAGATATTTCCTTCTTAAATTAAAAAGTAATGTTACTTTACTAGTTACTTAAAAAAAGTAATCTGATTACGTAACCCGCGTTACTTGTAATGCGTTAACCCCAACACTGTGTTACATGAATGATTTGTGCGTGTTGATTGATCAGTTTCTCCTACTCGTTCTTCAGGGAGATTCCGGCGGTCCTCTGGTATGTCCCAAAAATGGCAGGATGACTCTGATGGGTTTGATCAGCTGGGGTGACGGCTGCGGGAAGAAAGACACGCCTGGCGTTTACACGCGTGTCACAAACTACACAAACTGGATCTCCAGCAAGATGAGAGCGAACTGAGATGCAAACGATCAGCATTCGTACAAAATACAGTGACTGTCAGGTACGGAAAATAAGGTGATGGTGAAAACGCCTCGCATTCACCGACCTTCACACCTACTGGACTACATTTGACCTGCTCTGTGGGTTTGAGTGGCATTTAAGGAGGAGACGTGGGAACACGACAGATGCTGCGAGTCAGTCATTGTAGATCATGTTTCACACGGGACGAGAAATCTGACTCCAAAAACTGTTTTTAATTTACAACACACAACGTGGCCTTCAATTTACAAAAGGACAACATGAGAAATGCATGATAATAAGGGTGCTAAAGTGCAAACTCTGATGCACAAGATCTATTAAAAGTACTTTGTTTTAAACTTATAATGGATTTAGAGGCACTTTCGCTTTGCTTTTAAATAGTGAAGATGTGAGTGAGCGACTGATAGCACTTTTGAATGTTATGTGACGCTTTATAATGCTTGTTAAATCGTAATTATTTTTAACACTAAACATCTGCTGGGTCAGTGTTGCTGCGTTGATCCAAACACATTCATTTGACTGTATTTAATACGACTTGTTTGACTGCAAAATGTCTTTAGCGACCCAGATCTAATATTATTGCAGACTTTAGATGTTGGGATGCATATTAAGTTAATATTTAACTATTTAACATCTTTTATACAATTTTATACACATGAGAAGCTAGTGCTAAGTTATTGTTTTTATACAGTAAATGCTTGTATGCTATTTTCCCCTGACATTTTATAAAACGTGAAATGGAAACTGTTCTTTGTCTTCTGTATGAAAATATTTATTTCAGATTCAGAAGATGATCTTTTTTTTTTTCAGCAAGTGTTTTGTGAATTCACACTGTCTATTTAGTCAAACTGGATAATGGGTGAGTGATTTCAGGAAAAACTGCGAAATAGTTACAAAATAAAAGTCATTTCAGAGACTTCAGGAGTCTTGCAGCAAAAGCTAATTTCCTTGTGTTTATTTGCTTTAAATAAAACATATGGAAGCCTGTTTCCGCCACTGAATAAAAAATGAAAAAAGTAATTGTGACTTAGTTTTTATCTAACAATTCAGATTTTTTTTCGTGCAATTCCGAGTTTACATCTCGCAATTCTGACTTTTTTCTCTTCATTGCGTGATACAAACTCGCAATTCTGCCTTTTATTTATCAAAATTGCGATATAAACTCGAAGTTGCGAGTTATAAAGTCAGTATTGCATGATATAAACTCACAATTGCGAAAAATTAAAAAAATTAAAATTGAGCTAAATTCAGAATTCTGAGAAATAAAGTCTGAATTGCGTGATATAAAGTCACAATTGTCACAAAAAAATATATATTTCACAATTGTGACACTTTTTCTCAGAATTGCGAGTTTATATTATATTAAAAGCCACAATTGTGAGATTTAAATGGAATTGGAGTTTTTATCTTGCAATTTTGACTTTTTTCCTTGCAATTGCAAGATTGTATTCCACTAGTCTGACTATATAACTCACAATGATGAGTTTATATCATGCAATTCTGAGAAAAAAGTCAGAATTGTGAGCTTCTCTCTCTCTCTATATTGTGAGATTTAAAAAAAATCGCATTTACTTTTTTTAAATTTAGTGGCAGAAATGGGCTTCCATAAAAACATGCTCTCTAAGTCTGGGAAAATGTCCTAAAAAGTCAGAACTAATTAAAACCGTAGGTGATTAAAAATCATGCAATGACGACATTATTTTATAAAGCAGTCTCACACTGGTGTATGGTCCTGATGAAGCAGTCTGGTATAAAATATAAGAATTTCTTCTCATAGTTGAATGGGTTTCAGGACAGTGGAGGACAAACTCTGCAGCTGCTGACAAAATCTGGTCATTGGTTTCCATATTTCATAGAAAAACTTGCATGCAACATCTACTGAACAAAGTCATGGAGCAGCAGCAGGAAACACACCGAGCACTAATGATCACGAAACCCAACAATGAGAGTTTTAATCATTTGCTGAGTTCACAAGATTTCTTCCTCATAATTTCAGTGCGATCCTCATGCACAAATATCAAAAACAGAAAAATGTCAAAACAGCAGCAGTGGATTGCTTTCACGCAAATGAAGGACGAACAAGGAATTCCATGAGAACAGATAATAAATCTGAACTTTTCTTACACATTAATTTCATAGTTTGCTTCACACATACACAGACACTTGCATTTTGTTGAACCACCAACATATATAATCTAAAGTTCGGCGGTGATGAGCATGTATTCATGTCTGTTCCTCTCAGCCGATTTCTGACTCAGTCCTATGGTGATACCCGTTTAAATTTCGTGACTTTAACAGAGAAGATGTCAGTATTATTCGCTCTTAAGAAACTCTCCAGCACTTTGCCAACCTGAGGAAAAAAATGACTGGAAGTGAGAAAACAGTAGGTTCAGAAGAAGCAGCGCACAATAAAGCTGTGTCCCAAGTCACATAGAAGATGCACTTTTATGGTTCAGAACAACAAGCAATAATGTAGGATTTCTAATCAGGCACAGAATAGAAATGCTAAAAAAGTTATATTAGCCAAAAAAAATCACTTTGGGGCCCAAAGGAACATGGAACATGAGGAACATGATGCCACACCTGTTCACTATCAACTTGATTGTAGAATGACTGAGGCTGAAACTTGATGCTAGTGATTTGTTTTATAGTTTGTCCGAACACAGGCATCCTTTCGTTTGCACAGCTAAAACTGTCGATCATAGGCGGAGCGTGTGTAAGGCTGGCCACGGGGACTTGGGGCAAAAATGCCCCTGCACAAACAAATTTAATCTATTACGTCTGTTGCTAACAAAGTGAATATGAATAGACCGTGTCGATTGCAGCATTAAGTTAAGATCTGCTCATGTTGCAAAACTAATTTTTGAGATTTCAGGTTCGGGTGCAATACTGATGGTAAAACTTGACCTACACATTTATATGCACACAATGATGAATGAATTGGAGGAGTTCCAATAGGGTCCTCCAATAGGATCACTTGTCTAAATTACCTTTTGGTGGAGCTGCAGTGGAGTTGAAGGTAGGAGCTGCAGTTGTGCTATTGAAAACTACAAATACAGAGCCTCGATTATAACATTATAACAGGCACCTTCCGAGTAGAGACCTGCACTATCGCGGGACTACCGCAGCAACCAACGCAAGAGTGCGGCGCGCGGTAGAGGTCTGCGTGGGACTGTTTTTTTAGCCCCGCTCCCGCAAGGTTCTATTCCGCACCCACCCACTCCTGCTATATTCACTCTTTGTTCACCTGCTGTCCGCTTAGAATAATTTTCTTCCCGACCCAACCGTTCCCGCTAAATTTAGTTCTCGTTTCCAGAATCTCACATTTAAATTTAGGAGAGATAGGCTGTAAGAGCTTGATTAGCTGGTTCAGATGTGTTTAATTGGGGTTGGAGCTAAACTCTTCAGGACAACGGCCCTCCAGGACCGAGTTTGGACACCCCTGCTATAAAAGGAGGGAAGAAGCGCTTCCAATCATTGTGTTCTTGTTAGCAATGGATACCTCCAAAGAAACACGTGCAGCCATCATCGCTTTGCATCAAAATGGCCTCACATGCAGGGAAATTGCTACAAAGAATATTGCACCTGAAAGAACCATTTACCGGATCATCAAGAACTTCCAAGGAGAGAGGTTCGACTGCAGTGAAGAAGTCTTCAGGACGTCCCAGAGTGTCCAGCAAGCGCCAGGACCATCTCCTCCTGAGGAGCCAGCTACGGAATCGTGTCTCCAGCAGTGCAGAGCTTGCTCAGAAATAGCAGCAGGTTGGTGTGAGAGCATCTGCACACACAGTGAGGCCAAGACTTTTGGACAACGGCCTGTTGTCAATAAGGTCGGCAAAGAAGCCACTTCTCTCCAAGAAAGTCATCAAGGACAGACTGAAATTCTGCAGGAAGTACAAGAATTGGACAGCAGAAGACTGGGGCTAAGTTATTTTCTCTGATGACACTCCCTTTCCACTCTTTGGGACATCTGGAAAATCGATTTTTCGGAGAAGAAAAGGTGAACGCTACCATGAGTCCTGTGTTGTGCCAACAGTGAAGCATCCTGAGACCATCCATGTGTGGGGTTGCTTTTCAAACAAGGGAGTGGGCTCTCTCATAATTCTGCCCAAAAACACTGCCATGAATAAAGAATGGTATCAAAACGTCCTGCAAGAGCGACTTCTTCCAACGATCCATGAGCAATTTGGTGATGATCCCTGCATTTTCCAGCATGATGGAGCATTATGTCACAAAGCAAGAGTGATAAAGAAGTGGCTCGAAGATCATTACATTGAAATGTTGGATCTGTGGCCAGGCAACTCCCTGGATCGCAATCCCATAGAGAACCTGTGGTCAGTCCTCAAAAGGCGAGTGGACAAGCAGAAGCCCACAAATTGTGATCAACTCTGAGAACTAATAAGGCAAGAATGGATCGCCATCAGTCAGGATTTGGCCCAGAAGCTAATATCCAGCATGCCAGAGCGAATTGCAGAGGTTATGAAGAACAAGGGTCAACATTGTAAATATTGACTCATATATATATTTTTTGCCAATAAAAGCCTTTAAAACTTATGATATGCTTATAATTGTTTTTCAGTATACCATAGAAACATGTGGAAAAAAACTACAAATACTGAAGCAGCAAACTTTGCAAAGCACAAAATTTGTCACTGCCAAAACTTTTGGCCATGACTGTAGGTGGTGTTGTAGTTGGTGCTGGTGTAGGCGGTGTTGTAATAGGTAAGGAGGTAATTGATGTGGTAGTTGTAATATCCGTAGCCAGGGGCGTAGATTATGCGGGGGATGTGTGTCCCCCCCCCCCCCCCCCCTTCTTTTATTACACACAATCCCCCCCCCCCC